CAGAGAGAAGAGAGGACACAAAGAGGAGAGAGAGGAGACAGAGAGGAGAGTGGAGACAGAAAGGAGACAGAGGAGACAGAGAGGAGAGAGGAGACAGAGAGGAGAGACAGAGACAGAGAGGAGAAAGGAGACAGAGGAGAGAAGACACAAAGAGGAGAGAGGGGAGAGAGAGGAGACAGAGAGGAAAGAGGAGACAGAGAGGAGAGACAGAGACAGAGAGGAGAGAGGAGACAGAGAGGAGAGAGAGACACAAGAGGAGAGAGGAGACAGAGAGGAGAGAGAGAGACAGAGAGGAAAGAGGAGACAGAGAGGAGAGACAGAGACAGAGAGGAGAGAGGAGACAGAGAGGAGAGACAGAGACAGAGAGGAGAGAGGAGACAGAGAGGAGAGAGGAGACAGAGAGGAGAGAGGGGAGACAGAGAGGAGACAGAGAGGAAAGAGGAGAGAGGAGACAGAGAGGAGAGACAGAGACAGAGAGGAGAGAAGAGAGAGGAGACAGAGAGAGAGAGAGGAGACAGAGAGAGACAGAGAGACAGAGGAGGAGAGAGAGGAGAGAGAGAGAGAGAGACAGAGAGAAGACGAGAGAGAGAGAAGAGAAGAGAGGAGACAGAGAGGAGAGAGGAGACAGAGAGGAGAGAGGAGACAGAGAGAGAGAGAGGAGACAGAGAGGAGAGAGGAGACAGAGAGGAGAGAGGAGACAGGGAGGAGAGAGGAATCAGTGAGGAGAAAGGAGACAGAAAGGAGACAGAGAGGAGAGAGAGGAGAGAGGAGACAGAGAGGAGAAAGGAGAGAGAGGAGACAGACAGAGAGGAGAAAGAGAGGAGATAGACACAGACTTGACAGAGGAGACAGAACACAGAGGTTAGACAGGGGAGAGAAGAGTAAGGAGAGAGAGAGGAGACAGATGGGACAGAGGAGTATGACTAAACAAACTCCACAAGATAAAATTCTGGTATATGTGATTTATTATAAAAAGGAAATATTCTACATCAGCAACCACATGTTAAAGGCGCTGTACCTGATTTTTACAGTCTTAAAGGAGACATATTACTGTATGTTAAATCAACTTTTTAAAGGGACAGTCTGGAATTTTGGACATAGGACCTCATTTCCTAGTGAGCCAGAGTGTTGGAGATGTGTGGAGACACTTTTTAAAATATTCCATCCAGTCCTTGTATTTGCAGAGGTCACTGGTGCTAGACTAGTGCATGTCAATGGCCATAGTTATCCTGCCACTAAAAACAGTCTTACCCACTCCACAAAACACCCGAAGCAAATCTATTATTACACCAGACTGTCAGTGTGAATGTCTGTGTTGATAGAAAAATGTTTGAAATAAAACTAACCTTACATTGCATGAATCGTCGCATGTTGAGGGACTATTTTCTTATATATCAGTCCGCCGCTGCCGAGCTTTCTGTCAGGAAGTACAACTTGTTGCTGCTGCTCAGACATAAATCCTTCACATGCAACGTTGGTTTTACTTCTAAAATTATTCTAGCAACACAGACATTTACATCGACAGTCTGGTGTAATAATAGATTTGTTTCGGGTGCTTGTGGAGTGGGTAAGACTGTTTTTAGTGGCAGGATAACTATGGCCATTGACATGCACTAGCCTAGCACCAGCGACCTCTGCAAATACAAGCACTGAATGGAATATTTTAAAAAGTGTCTCCACACGTCTCCAACACTCTGGCTCACTAGGAAATGAGGTCCAAAATTCCAGACTGTCACTTTAACCACGTTATAATAGTATTGGTCACACTGGTTTGTAAAAGCAGCAGATCTCAGACGCTAAGCAGGGTCAGAGCTGAGTAGTACTTGGATGAGAGACCACTGGGACAGCTTTTGATGTAGCCACAGCTGCCCTGAGGTAGACTAACAGAATTAAGGCTGCCAATCTGCACCGACCACCACCACTCACACACCACACTCACTTTGGCTGAAGTGTTCTGCATAAAGGACACGACAGAACTTGGTCTGAGCAGAAGTCGATCCTCTGACCTTCACGTTGATTAAATCATGTGTGTTTGAGTAATCCCTGCACTCGAGACTTGAGTTCTGAGAAAGAGTGGTGCTGTCACTTCCAAGTTTTCCAGTATTCACACATAGGAGTCGGCTCAAACAGAAAATCAGTACATCCGTTTTTGTTATTTAGCCATATTAGATCGATACTGCAGTCTACAATGAAAAGAAATGTAACACAATGAAAGCAAAATATGTCTCCTTTAAAGACTCATTCATGTTAAACTGTTTGCAGTGGTCCAAGCTGTACTTCCCTTTACCACTGAAATATGCACAGCAGGACAATAAAGTAGCATTTTCTCCAGGACTAAATGAATGTACTACTATAAAACGCTGTGGCTCTTCTAACAGCTCAAAGTAGCCGTTTCTCTATGTCAAAAATACAAAATGGTGGATACATTTTATTGTCTTTGCTTATTTTACTCCCATCGTACAGCAAAGATGGGTTATTTTAAATTAATAACATTTTGCTTTTTCATCTTAAAAGTGCACTACATAAATTTCTGAAGCACCACAGCCCACAGTATGGCATTAAACTTATTTTACTTTATGTGCTTTCTACTAAAAAATCTGATCTGTAACTTGGCATTAAAGCACCACCTGCTTTCCTCCATGGAGATAGATCAGTTTAATGCCTTACTTTTACATACAGTGCACCTTTAAGTTATATATTTTGACCAATATACTCAAAATAATTAGTTTATGTACTTTTCTTTGCTGAGTATATGAGAAATCCTGTACCAGATGACTCCTTTTTACTTTCACTATCATTGTGATTCTGAAGTACACTACCAGTCAAAACTTTGGATACACCATCTCATTCAATGTTTTTTACTTTGTTTTTCTTTATTTTTACCACTTTTTACATTTGATATACACACAGAAGACATCAAATATACGAAGTAAGATGTATGGAATTATGTCGTAAAGAAAAAAGCTTTGAGGTTTTGAATATACATATAAAACTAGTAGTTGTACTTTTATTTCTTTGCGACATAATTCCATATATCTTACATCATATATTTGATGTCTTTTGTGTGAAGTGAAAATGTACAAAGTAGTAAAGTAGATCATAGTACAATTTTACGATCCTCTCTTCAAGATTGTCAAAATGTATTGTTTTAAAGGGCCCATATTACACTATAACGCTATTTTCTGATCTGTTATAATGTTGTTTCCTCATCAAAAACAGACCTGGAGTTGTGTTTTGTTTCATTCACACATGTTTAACACACAAACCCTGCATGTGTAAGTCCTTCTCTCACAAAAATTGTCATTTGGTAATACAGAAAGTGTTTGTTTTTGATGAGGAAACAACATTATAACATGGATAAAACCTCACAAGAATCAATTTTATGTAATACAAGACCTGTAAAATCAACTTATTACAGGCTATGTATACCATTTGTAAAAAGCACACGTTAATATACCGACATATTTTATCATTTAACATAAGCATTTATCATAAAGATTGTATTTATGGTAAAGAGAATGAATACAGGGTTAAAACTAAAGGGTTTGTTAAAGTGTGAGTGGAGATGCATGTCCAGTGAGGGCCTTGTTCTTGTACATATAGAGCTGTACACTGTTGGTATACTGTATGGAACTACCATTTTTAAGTCTGATTTGTGAACAATAAACGTTGGTTGTTGTTTGTAATATTGGGTTGTGTTGGATTTTGAAAGCAACTATTGTACACATGTGTTTAATACATTCCATTAAACATATTTATAATATATTTAAGGAGCTCATATTACACTATTTTCTGATCTATGTTATAATGTTTCCTTGTCATGGTATTATTCACATGTTTAGCACACAAATCCTTCATATTTAAGCGATATTTAGACTTCTTTGTTCAAACAGAACACTCAAAACACTGTTCCACTTTGTGATGTCATGTGGTAAATTGTAGAAAGTGCTCCTGTGTGTTTTTAAACTCCACAGGCCTTTACTAGAATCATGGATTGGAAGATTTCAGACCTGGAACTGCCAGTCTCTGCTGAAGAAAAGGTAAAAGGAGGCTGTTAAATTGAAAACTACCATTTCATGACATCACAAGGTGGAAAAGAGCATTTTGTTTTTGGAGACCCAGGATTACTCAGCAATAACTGCAGCTGGGGCGAACTGCTTACTGCGAGCTAAAATTATGCATGAAAAAACATGCTCGCCTCTCCACAGATTTGACCTTTAACTTGGTCTGGTGTAGGGCTGGGTATCCTTTAGAAGTTGCCGATACGATACATACCTCGATACAGTGATCTTATGATTCGATACGATTCTGTATGATATATTTCAACTCAATTCATTACGGTTCAATAAAAAATTAAAGCTAAATCATGGCTGTGATACTAAAAATCTTTGTTAAACCACTTCTTGTGCAAAGTTAATATGAAAAATCCAATTTTAATCATCAAAACAGTGAATATGTCAAATGTGTCGCCTAAACGCTTTTCCTTCCTCTAAACAAGCAACAAAACTGTAGCACTCTAACAAAATCATTTAGTAAAATATACCAAAAAATAATCTTGGTGATATATCGATACAGCAGCCCACGATATCGATATTGTATCATGACATTAAACGTTACGATATATTGAAATTTCAGTATTTTTGCACACCCCTGGTCTGGTGGACACCTGCTTGTCTCCATGATGATAGAGAAGTTTAATGCCAAACGGTGAAAAGTTCTTTGAGTGAGTTTGCCCAATTTAGGAGTTAATTTTAATCACTTTTTTGTTCTCCTTTGGATTTCTTGTTTTTGGTTACAGTGGAATTTACAGTGGTCCTGGTTTAGCCCTAGATTAGACCTGGAATAGTCCTGTTTTAGACCTGATGGTACTTGGAAAACCAAATCTTTTCATTAGAGGTACTTGGTGTTTCTAGTCCTTAGAGACAGGCAGGTGACTCATTCCCCAGAAAAGTCAATAATGATCAATAGATTTAATTTACAGTAGAATAAACAACACAATCTAAGAGAAAAAAGCAGTTTTATTTAAATAATTGCTTTTGAAGATTAAGTATTAAAATGAATGTTTAATAATAATAAATTAGACTTATCATTAATGTAAAAGATGACTCCAAAAGTTTCAGTGGCTTTATCTTAACCAACTTCTATTCAAAACATGACTCCACAAAACGTATCAATATTTGGCATCTGGAACATTTGTCATTGGACTGAAAGACTGTCTGAGATGGGTGCAGGACGTAGAGTTTTTATTTACACAAATTAATCCAAACTTCTATTAACAGCCCACGCGTTATAAATGAGAAAAAATGTCCGCTGTCCATTTGACTGGAGACAGGAGAACTTAAGAGGAACAAAATGGCTTCTACATGAACATATCGTCATAACCTGGAGGCGGCATGTGGTCCGGGTCAGGCCTGGAGAAACAAAAACATTTACATCACATTATGAAATCAAAATACAATAACATTTGATCTGATTATATTAAAGGTGCACTATGTACGTTTTCTGAGGGTCTGCCAACAACTTGTCTTCATGGAGACTGAAATTTTCCACACTATAGCTTTAAAAAATACCTTAAACATCATAGTATTGTTCATCCCAGTCTAGTGCTGTTCAGTGTTCAATGTTTCTGCTGTAGGACTGAGCTGGCAGTGAGTGCCCCCAGTAACACACAGCAACACAAATTCCCTAACAGGTACGTTGAAAAACATGTCTTTCTACTGTGAACAGACTTGCCTCTCCACAGGTCTGACCTGTGACTTGGCCTGGTGATTAGGGCTGAGTATCATTAAGAAATTGCTGATACGATACATATTCAATTCAATACATAGATTATGATACGATATGTATCTCTATACAGTGAGCTTTTGATTCAGTACAACATATTTCAAATCAATCGTGGCTGTGATATTAAAAGTCTTTGTTAAACCACTTTTTGTGTAGAGTAAATTTGTAACATGTATTTTACTCAAAACAGTGATAATGTCAAATGTGTTGCATAAACGAATTTCCTTCCTCTGAATAAGCAACAAAACTGTAGCGCTTTAATGAAATAATCGAGTAAAATACACCAAAAAATACTCTTGGTGATATATCGATACAGCAGCCCTCGATATCAATACTGTATCATCGCATTAAACAATACGATATATCGATATTTTAATATTTTTGCACATCCCTACTGGTGATGTCCTCTGCTTGTCTCCATGGAGACTGATCACTTTACATTCCAGGAAAAGCAATAACATCTTTCTGGAGACAAGCAGGTGGCAGGACCCTTCACTAGAAAAGTTTACCATAAGTCACCTTTAAAATACAATAGTGCTGAACATTAAATGTCATGTTGAAGTACAAATAATTTGTACTTTTTGAGCGCCTCAGTGAGACTGGTCCCTACAGTACACTGAAGGGCACTAAAGGATAATTCTGCACAATTTATTCACATTCAAGTAGTATTCATGCCCCCTAAAGTTTTGCACTGTAAATATAATTTTATAAAAGCATGGCCCTGGAGACCTCAGCACAGCCTTAGCCCCTTCCTCCCCGAGAAAAACTGCCCCTGCACTTGACATAATATACAGTAAAAAATAACATAATAAAATCTCTTGGTTTCGACTGTTTGGTGCTGTAGCCTCACCCGGGCCTGTGTCGTCCGATGGGCCCAAACGGGTCAAAACGAGCTCCTGGGGGAACGGCTCCAGGAGGCAGGATGTCAGGGATCCCACTGGAGGGGTCAAAGCCAGAGCGAGGGTATCCTGAGCGGAGAGGGTCAACGATCATACCCCCACCACCACGGGTCCTGTACACCACCACAGCACAGAGACGTACAGAGAAAACAGCAGGTCAGACACACGACTCTGTCTCAAACTGAGTCACCCTGCACTGGTCAGAAATGGACAGGAGAAACATTTTGCTTTGTTTTTTTCTAGATTAAATTGAAACTATAATCACTGTTTTTTGCTACTAAATTGTCCATTGTGTTTTGATCTACTGTTCCTAGTCCTTTTTTTTTTTTTGGCAAATTTAGTGCAATCTAAGTAAATTTGGTAAACAAGGTAAACAAATCTCTAAAGGTTTTGTGGTAAAAAACGGCTGTGGGTAAGACTGTAGTAAATTTAAATGATATAATTTGGGGAAAATAATAACAATCAACCATGCACTACATACCAAAAATATGATCTTATTGGCTTTCGGCTGCTCTGAATTCAATAATTGGCTGATCTCTTGTCCAACATAAGAAAAGTTTTAAGTAAAAAATAATTATTTGATGTTTGGAAATAAATTATGATAAACATATAAATAAACATCTGACATACTCGGCAATTAGGTACAGTGAAGTTTTATCTTTGCTTCAAAATGGTCTCTGAAATCACACTTAAATTAAACAGCTTTAACATTTGAAATGTGACTATTTAAAAAACAGACAGAGGTCTGGACTAAATCCAGTAATCCACTTGGGTTCATGTTGTACCCAAATCCAGGATTACACAGAGCAGACAGATGCAGAGGACACGCATGGAAAAATCACTCTTCTGAAAACACTGGAATTAATGTGAAACTCACCCAAAAGGATCAAGATCTGCTCCACCAACCCCAAACGGGGGCGCTAGAGGACCGGGCCTGGACAAAACACAGAGAACAGTCATCAGTATTAAGGATAAAGATGAGTGGCCTTGTTTTGTTTCATTCACACACGTTTAACACACAACCCCACACGATACAGGCTGAGTTCTCCTCTCAAACTAAAAACAATCTGTTCCACCTTGTGATGTCACGTGGTAGTAAAGGAAGAGCTCCATTGTGTTTTTAAACTCCATACAACTTCACTAGAATCATTTGAATAAGTTCAGTCCTGGAATTGCCAATCTGTACTGAACTAAATGTAAAAGGAGCTGTTAGCATGAAAACTACCACTACATGACATCACAAGGTGGAACAATGTATTTTGTGCTTTGGAGATGTAGACGGACTAATAATAAAGGATTACTCAAAGGTATGAATGAAACAAAACACAACTCCAGGTCTGTTTTTGAAGAGGTAACAATATTATAACATGCCTTAAAGCTCACAAGAATTTATTTTGTGTAATATAGGATCTTTAATGGACTGTTGGATTATGTTTTTCCCGTATCCATGGAGACTTTGCAAGAGGTTACCTAAGGAGTTAGCTATGGACATTAAAGATTTGACAATTTTACACCATATGTGGCAGCAAATATGTTAGAAGACCTTCCAGAAGAAACACTTTGAGGGACTGGACTATTTCATCACCAAATGAAACACCAGAGCCAAAGGAGGGTTTTGATGCTGTGTTCACCTGGTGCCCCCTAGAGGCTGCTGTGATGCTGCAGGTCACAGAGGAGGGACACTTTTGGCTCTTTCTCTCCTCAAACTGCCCTGACACAGACCTGCTGACCCTCTCTGACCAGTCCTCCTGTTAAACTGCACTGAGACCTTTGACTGAGACACAAAGGCCACTGAGAAGCACAGTGGAAATGTGGCTGCAGTAAAACTCAAATTTCCCTCAGGATCAATAAAGCATTTCTCTCTCTGTCTCTCTCTTTCTCTAAGGCCAATGAAAGGGTTTGATTTGTTCTCTGCAGAGGAGTTACATTCAAACCTTAACACTGTGATTGCAGCCATTGTGATTTATAATTGCAAGCACTCATAAGATGAATAAATTATATTATAATAAATCACAAAATAACGAGTCAGTAATAAGACCTTGCTTATACTAAGACTTTTCTCTCTCTCTGTCTCACACACCTGTCTTCTGTCCTCTTTCTCCCCATCTCTCTATTCAGCCATCTTTCTCTCACCTTCTTTTGTCTCTCCCTGCTCTAATTTCCTTTCCTCTCTCTCCTCTCTGCTCTGCCCTCTTCCCACTCTCCTCTGCCCACTCTCCTCTGCCCTCTTCCCTCTCTCCACTTCCCTCTGCCCTCTCTCCTCTGCCCTCTCTCCTCTGCCCTCTCTCCTCTGCCCTCTCTCACTCTGCCCTCTCTCACTTCTCTCTCACTTCTCTCTCACTTCTCTCTCACTTCTCTCTCACTTCTCTCTCACTTCTCTCTCTCCTCTTCCCTCTCTCCTCTCCCCTCTCTTCTCTTCTCTTCCCCCTCTCCTCAGTGACTCCAGGGACATAGAGGCGACAGCAGCAGGTCGATAAATTGCTGACTCCAATCTGGTCAGATCAGGTCACAACCAAACACTGAGAGGAGAGAGAACACGAGAGAAGAGAAGAAGAGAAGAAAGCGAGAGACCAAGAGAGAGGGAGAGAGAAAGCGTGAGGAGAGAGAGAGAGGTGAAGGGAGAGACAGTAAGAGAGTGAAAGAGAGAGCGAGAGAGAGAGCACAAGAGAGCGAGAGAAAGATACTTTATTGATCCCAAGGGAAATTCAAGTTTTGCTGCAGCAAAATGTTGCAGCAAAACTGCAACATTTTGCTGCAGCTCTTCTCAGTGACCTTTCTGTCTCTGTGAAAAATCACAGTGCAGTTTAATTAACAGGACGACTAGTCAGGGAGGGTCAGCAGGTCTGTGTCAGGGCAGTTTGGGGAGAGGAAGAGCCAAAACTGTCCCTCCTCTGTGTTCTGCAGCATGATGGCAGTGTCTAGGGTTTATTAAGGTTAGGTGTAAAAATCCTGTATCATCTCAAATGTCCGCAGCTAGTTAGCTCCTTAGCTGGTCTCTCGCACAGTCTGCAGGGATACGGGAAAATCAAACAGCTCATTTGACACAATCCAACTGTCCTTTAGTTGTGTTCTTTGAACTGTACATGCTGCACTTCTTAGATGGTTAAAATCCCATGATACAATGTTAAAAACTAAGCTCATAAAACAAAAAGTTACAAAAAGTGCTCAGTGTGTGAGTCAGGTAGCCACAAAAGCGAGAGAGAGAAGAGAAAGGAAAAGAGAGAGGAGAGGAGAAGAGAACAACATAGAAGAGCAAGAGTAAGAGCAAGAGTAGAGAGCAAGAGAGAGGAGAAGAGAGAATGACTTAAAAGTCTCACTCAGGTTCTAAATATTCAAGCAGGGTTTTCCTGCTGTTAAAGACCATTCAGCAGCTTTTCAGAGTTGAAATATTTGAAATAAAATGACAGAAGCCTAATGCTCTGTTCAGATTACAGCATCATGGGTGTTGGTTTTACACACAAAGTCTATCGGGCTAGTCTAGTCTGGTCCAATGTTTCCAAGACACATATCAAGTGTTTGACATGGTGCATCTTTACTGTTCATGGCGTCAAACAGCAGTGTTGAAAAAATCTGAACTTTTGGTGAGATTTAACTTTGGAGGGATTTTGATGTCATGAAAATAGCACAAGAAATTACCCAAAAGAAAATAAAATGAACTCAAAATTAGGCAAACCTACACACTGAAGAGCTGTCCAAGTCCATACCAGTACAGTAGTTACGCACAAAATGCATGTGAGTGGGGGCCCGTCCTCTCATACCAACCAGTGTGGCTGTGCTCCGGGAGGGTGTCTGTGAGGGATACGGAGGGGGTCTCTGTCTGGGTCTGAGGAGCGTCCCCTGTCCTGGTCCCTGGTCCCCGCTCTGTCCTGGTCCCTGGAGCTCGGTCTGTCCTGGGGAGGAAGCAGCTGACTCCTGATCTTCTGTGAAAAACAGTCAACGTCTTTGTAGACACTGGAGACAAACACAAAACAAGTTTAGATCTTTGGTATATTAAAGCCACAATGAACAGGGATGACTTCATTTAAAGAGGAATGATAGAGGTCTAAGTGCTAACACATAAAAGATTTTGCATAATACCCTCTCTTTTAAATAAACGGTTTATATGATGAGTTGGTTTGTTGGCAATTTTTTATGGATTTTGTAGATTTTTTTAAAACAATTTAAAATGTATTATGACATTATTAATTGAAGTAAAACAGTATAGCACCCTCTAGTGGCCATTTAAAGCACACAAGCAACCCACAAAAATACAGAACTAGTTAAAGAGTTTTCTAGTATATACAGTGGAAATATGTATTCATTAAGATTAAACAAACTGATAGAGAAGAGGCCAGGTTTTAGTACCAACATTAGTTAGTGGTCAGTGGTCCTTTGCCCCTACTATTATTCAACAACTCTAATAAAGATTAAAAAGAAAAAAACTAACAGATAGAAAATTAGAGAATGGAAAAACGAACCTGTCAAATGTCCGGAGCTCATCGGCATTCACATAGTCACTGATGTTTAGTACCAAGTCCAACACCTGCTGGTTACTTGTGTTCTGCAAATGACAGCAAAAAATAGCAGAAATATTATTAAAGAATGGTTTGAAATCGTGACTGTTACACATTTTACTTGGAAAACACCATAGCTAAATCACAATAATTTAAGGTGGGAGATATGTTGTGAACTAAGACAGGGTCTGGAATCGGACCATAGACCGTGAAAAATTTCTGTCCAAACTTGAGACGTTCCAATCACAGCTGCTTATTTGTATCACGTGTTTCTCAAATACAGAAGACATCTCCTCTAGAAAATTCTCGTATCATTCAGAACAAAATATATAATTAAGAAAACTAATACAATTCTTTTACCTGAGATAAATAACAGCAATAGTTTGATGCTTTGATTATTATAGCTGAGAAAATCCATGCTCTTTCTCAGTCATTCATGTAGATTTTTTCTCTTTTTTAACGTGTAAGCAGCCATGCATCTCTCTGATTGGTTAATCACAATCAATCACACCCTCTGAAATCTGGGAGACAGGATACGGCTCCACATCCACTTGCTTTTGGTGGTTCTGGCTTACCAGGTAGATGACACATTCATAGAATAAATATTTTCTTGATCAGTCTCTAACAATTTGATAAAAAAATACAGATTTTGTACAGCAACATATCGGCTTGCCTCTTTCCCACACCACAGTGAGAATCTCCATAACCCTGCACTTACCATAAAGTTGAATAAGAGTGCAGAGTCTATGGGGATGCCTTTGAGCATGTAGAGTGTGTCTGCGTTTGTGGGCTTGTATCTCAGAGTGTACAGCTCTTTGTTACTGCTCCAGTCTGCCGGCAGCAGCTCTGACTTCTTATCACTGCTGCGCGCCTGGGGACAAGAAACAAGTTCGGATATTAATATTAAAAACACTGTGTCAAAAGGAGAAACTACAGCATTGCGTTTTTGAGGTGTTATAAAAGTCCAGATTAAATGTGAAAGAAATAATAAAAATATTTGTATCAGAATTGTTCTGCAGTTCTTTTTTATCTTGTTTGTCTCTAAATAAGATATTACAAGTCATAAGCCTAAAAGTTTTTAAAAGTGTTTAAAAGATGCAAATACTACGAAATGTTCTGGCTTTTTCACTATGTATTTTATTTAATTTTTATGATGTTTAAAGGTGCACTGCTTAACTTTCCAGCAGAGGATGCACCAGTTGTATCTCTCTAGAGACATTATTGCTTTGCCTAGAATGTTGCGCAGTATGGCACTGAACTTATCTCCAAGGAAACAAGCAGATGACACCAACAGACCAAGTTACAGGTTAAATCTGTGGACAGGCATTATGCACCAACTGATATTACTTATTTGGTATATTCCTATTTTATGTGAACCATGCTTTGATAACAACATTTGGTTAAATCTAATCTAATCTACATAGTAAAAAATAAAGAGGTAGTATTGTCACAGTACTAAAATTTCAACATACTTGATACCATAATAAAAAAAACATTTCATTCATTTAGACAATAGCATGTGATTTTTCAACATGGAATCATAGTACTTTATTTTTATTACTATGTGGCCTTATATCTGTGTAATCCCTCAGTGGTCCAGGTAGGTTTCACAGTGATCCATGGTCGTATACTAGTCTATGTGCTCTTATATTTGTTCTGATACAGCCCAAGATCATTTTAAAGATGTTCAGAAAAGGTCCATTTCTGTCCTGTGAATGTGACTTTTTTAGTATTGATACCTGCTCAAATATCTATCTAGTATCTAGTTTTGATAACCCCAATTTGAGGATATTAATACCTAAAAAAAAGCAAACAAAACAAGCCATCAATTACAACTCACTCATTATTCAGCATATGAAGACCTTTAAATTAATTCTTTTGATCAATTATGTCATTAAATATCTCTTAATGCTGGTTTAAGTCTAGTACATTTAGTCTGAACACTGAAGCTGTAACGTTACATTGATTACGCATGCATTATTATATAGAAAGTAATTCTCAAAATAGTACTAAGCTTTATTATAAACAATTTGATTTTCACCATTTAAAACAATTCAATTTCAGTTCATAATATTCATTTGTTCATCTATTATTCGGGTTGTCATGAGTCTAATATTTTCTTTCATAATGTATTACGCATACACTAATCTTGCCATCTCATAAGCATAACATTAGCAGCTGTTAGCATTAGCATCCCTCACCTCGTCTCCGGAGCCGATGCACCTGTACCCTCCTTTGATCAGCTCCCAGTGAACGAAACACACCACAGCGTCATTGGCACAGGTGATCCCGTCCATGAAGCAGGTGTACAGGACCTCCAGACCCGCCATGATTACCGGAGCGTGAGATTTTGGCCGATTTTGTAGTCTACCCTGTTCCACCGAAATGAAAATGAAAGCTCAGTGCCAGGCAACTGTAAGCACTTCCGGTGATCTTCAAAATAAAGCGCCGAAACTATTTTATTGTATTTATTTTTTATTTTAAAAACCGCGGGACGTTAAATAAATTGTTTTTTTATAATAATGTCTCAAATATATTAGAAAAAAATATATGCTTTCACAATAACAGTGAGATGTTAGAAAATATTTTAGCACATTCTATAATTTTTACCTGATTTCCTTTTCCGGAATTGTGTTGCTTTATTTTTTCTAACTTTACAAGGCTTTGTCATCTGTTTTGAACAAACATGTGATTTTGTCAGAAATATATAAAAAAATAACATAATTTATATTGCATTTGAATTTTCAAATACATAAAAAAAATAAAGTTTTAAATATAAATTAATTTATTTTATGCATTATTTCTTATACTGTTAAATATATATTTATATACTGAAAATATAAAATGACGTATTTTATTTGTTTATTGCTTTGTCTTTTTTTTCTGTTCGCTATATGTATAAAAGTTAATACAAATACAGAAAATACCCAAATATCTGTTATTATGTATGTCATTGCGCAACAAATATGTAAACAAAGTAATTTATTCACAAATAACTCAATTTCCCATCGTACTTTGCGCAGGGCGAGCGCTTCCTTGTGAAGATGGCGGCTCCCTTGTTTCTGCTGCTGATTGTAGGGGTTTCTATCCGTTTATTTCTCTTTAGATCCAGTTTAGCGGATATAATCGCAGAGAGGGTGGAGGTCGTGTCTCCCCTGACCGCCTGGAAGAGAGGTAAGCGGCTTTTCAAGGTTAGATCAGCTCGATTTTGGGTCCCAAACGCCGGTGTGATGCTCGCTCCCCGTCCGCTCTGCATGGAAGTGAATGGAAAACCGGTTTAGTGACAATGAGCAATGTGCAATCTGTGTTTGACAGTTCATTGCAATAAAAGCATGACGCTATTTTTAAGTCATATACTCTTAGATTTTGTTTGTTCTTTAAGCATTTAGCATTACATTTGTGCATTTATTGCCCCTTTTAATGAAAAACCACAGTAGGCTGCACTGACAAGATGCAATGGAGGAAATAGAAAACAAAATGACTGCTCAGAAAACACCATGCATGTTCAAAAATATAAGTACACTTGTTCAAAATTACCCAGGAGATACCCAGTCTTAAGCTTCAAGTTTCTACATTATTCTAAGAGCTCTAATTAGAATAAATGCAAGGAGATGGATGAATAAAGTCCCTTGTGTTTCTCATCTTGAGAGCCTGTAACCACCTCATTGCCTCATGAATAGTTTATCAGACCTCTGTAACAGGAAGCACAGCCCTCTAGTGTAAATCTGTATTCAGAGTAGACTGTGATTGAGATTGTTGTTTTAATTGTAGAATTCACTTTAAAGTCCACATATTAAACTCATTAATATTTGAGAGTCCTGGAATCTGATTCGCTGAGCTAATACAAGAGATGTTATCTACAGTTAGCAGCTTTTCATGATTAAACACAATGTTTTTTTCTTTGTAGAAGAAATTATATTACTTAAATAATTCCAGACTTTGTGATTTGTAATTGTGGGCGTTCAAACTGTAACTTTATTTGGATTCTGATATCTCTTGCTTTTATATTGTGCTTTTGTTTGTATTGCAGTGTTACACTTTTGTTGGCAGTGTTGTTTGCCTTTCCATTACTGAACTTGTTATAACAAATCAGGGCAGCTACATTATGGAAAATTCTATAATCACAAATGATGATTTGTTTAATGATTATATCCACATTATTACTTCTATTAATCTATTGAGTAATTATAGATCTAATATGTTTAATGAATGTAATGTTTTTGATACTTTTGCCTTGCCTTTGTTGATGAGAAAAGTGTCTGTACTCCAAGTTTTGATTTTCTGGTAATTGAATAGAAATTAAATCTTAATTAGGGCTGCAATATTAATCATAATCAAATCGAAATCGCAATTTGAGTTAACACAATTAGCAAATAACAAAACTGCCATTTCTGAAGTACCATAATTTCTTCCACAAATGTCAAAATATCCTGTCTTATTCTAGATCTAGCCCTGTAGTTTAGAAGTGTACAAACATGTTCAGAAATACATGTGAATCTTGTACTGTAAAAAAATTTCCTATTATGAAAATAAAATCCAAAATCATTCAGCTCTATTATAAATAAAATCTGGTTTGCTTGCTTCCGTCTATCTCTCACGTTCTTTGCTGCTGAAATCTTAATCCCTGCTTTTGTCACATCCAAAATCAACTACTGTAATACGTTTCTCTACAGCACATCCTCAAAAACTCTCAATAGACTACAGCATTTTCAAAACTCTGCTGCCCGCCTCCTCACATACACAGTCCCACGAACACATCAGCCCTGTCCTCCAGAACCTCAAGTGGCTTCCCATCCCTCAGCAAATCCACTTCAAAGCCCTCCACGACCAGACCCCGTCTTACTTCTCCAACCTTCTACACCCCCACAGTCCATCCAACCTCCTCTCCCTCCCCTGTAGGACCAAACTCTGAACCTGGGGAGATCTCCTTTGCCACCCCCACCCTCTGGAACTCACTGCCTCAGCAAGTCCGTGACTGTACTGAACCCTCTCCTTTCAAGAAACTGTTCATAACCCATCTATTTAGAACCACTTTCAGTGTCTATCCTGCTTTCAGTCATGCCTATATTTTGTTCCATTGCAGTACATCGATTTTAAATATGTACTTTTTAAATTGTATTCTTTGTGCAGCATGTTGAGGGTTTAGAAAAGCTCTATATAAATAAAATACATTATTATTATTACACTAGATGTCTATTATCCACATTTGATAGAGCTGATACTGTTTAGAACTACAACTGTTTTTAAAGTTATCATCTTCTATCTTCTTTGTTCCAGTTATAGAGGGTCTGGCTTTGCTCGACCTGGGAGTCTCACCGTACTCTGGAGATGTTTTCCACGAGGTAAAGCAGCCTTGAAAGCATCATAACTTTACTTTTCAGTTCAATTTATCATGCAGCTGAACCAATCATTTTGCAGTGGTGCAGATAGTAAAACAAATGTTATGATTTGATCTAGAATAGTTGTGCATTTTCATCTATGCCAGTACAAAAAAAATAATAATAATGAATTGTTTCTCCAGACTCCTCTCATCATATACTTATTTCATTTTGTCGTGGACTATGCTGAGATAACATTTATGGTAAGTGGAGAATCCTAACTCCTAACAGTGAAAGATTTAAATGCATTCCTTTGTGATTTTTGTTGATTTTATTTTCTATTTCCCCCTACAGTTAGCAGATGTCATCACTGCGGTGGCTCTGTATCTGGCAGTCAAGGATTACAACACGCAAGTGGTAAGAAAAAAAAAATAATTGCAAAAATGACTTTCATTGGTGCAGTAATGTGAGTGTAGATATCAGTGTAGTAGAAATGAATCAGTAGGATATTATGTAAATTGTACCAAAATCAACCTAAAAATACAAAAGGGGGCAAACCCTGAACATAAAAGAACTGCTATTCCATTGTATCATTTCATTTTAAGGGCCTGTATTACGCTGTTTTCTGATCTATGTTATAATGTTTTTCCTCATCACAAACATACCTAGAGTTATTTTGTTTCATTCAAATGTTTAACACACAAATCCTGCATATTTAGCCTGAGTTCTTCTCTCAAATGGAAAACACTGCTCCACCTTGTGACGTTAAACTCCATACATCTACACTCGAATCATTTGGATAATTTTAGCTCTGGAACAGGGCTGGGTATCACTAAAAAGTTGCCAATACAATACATACCTCGATACATAGGCAACGGTACGATACATATCCTGATACAGTGCACTTTTGATTTGATACATTTCAAATTGATTCGATACGGTTCAGTAAAAATAAATGCTAAATTATGGCTAAAAGTGTTTGTTAAACCACTTCTTGTGCAAAGTTAATATGAAATACAGCCATTTTAATCATCAAAACTGTGAAAATGTCAAATGTGTTGCATAAACGAGTTTCCTTCCACTGAACAAGCAACAAAACTGTAGCACTGTAACAAAATAATTGAGTAAAATATACCAAAAAATATTCTTGGCGGTATATCGATACAGCAGCCCACAATATCGATACTGTATTATCAAATTAAGCGATACAATATATCGATATTTCAGTATTTTTGCACACCCCTACTCTGGAATTTCCTGTCTTTACTGAGCTAAAGATAAAAACTTGTTGACTTGAAAACTACCTCTTCATTACATCACAGTGTGGAACAGGAGATTTTGAGTTTTGGAGATGTAGACAGACTAATAATAATGAAGTGTTACTCAAAGCATGTGTGAATGAAACAAAACATAATTACAGGTATCAGATGAAGAGAAGAGGTAGAGCGCTTCATTAGGTCATAAAAAAGTCAAAAGTAGCAGTACAGGTGCTCTACGAGGGTTGAACTTGAAATCTTGACAGAATGTAGCCCTTACTGAAAAATCTCAAAGTGCCCTGACGAAGACCATCTTGCTGGTCGAGACACGTCCCTCCATGTAATATATTCAGTCAGTGTGCCTCGGGTTTGTACCTTGCCCACTTTTACATTTTCCAGTAAGGGCTACATTCTGTACAAGTATGTTTTTGAGGCGTTCTAATATGGATGAAGACTCACAACAGTCAATTTTGTGTATACTGTGTTGTGTAATATGAGCAAGCCAAGAACATTAATGCGATAATGGTTTATTACTAATAGAACTAATCCTGTCTTTAGTTGAAAAAGCAAAGGTTTGAGCTGGAGGCAGACCGTTACCCCATGGACTGTCTGGAGCTGGTCCGGAGCCCCACACAAATGTATTATATCCCCCTCAAGGTCGCCATGTTGTAAGTATCAGCCTTTACCTGGACTTTCCTGATTTTTCCTTTCTTAAAAATGTTAAAAAAAAAGAACTAAAAAAAGAAAAGTTTGCAGTGATCCACAGTTGCTCCTCGCTTTACCTTATGCATTCAGGGCGTTGTAATTATTCACCGCAATGGATTTTTGAGCGCTTTTCACGACTTTCAGAGGTTTCCCATCACTGTAATGCTAATAACAACCAGCATGCTAACTGCACACTTCCTGATCATCTGAAAAATACCTAATGATTTCTTTGTTATTGTCTGTCTGCAGTTACATGTTGAACCCCTTCACCATTTTGTCCTGTGTCGCCAAATCCACGTGTGGACTCAACAACGCCGTTCTGGGACTCTTCTTCCTCTGCACTATTAAAAGTATAGTTACATTTCAGAATTGTATATACAAATATTTAAAGATACACTGTGTAACTTTTCTGGTGGAGGGTCTGTTACCTCCTCGTCTCCATGGAGATGTTATTTCTTTGTCTAGAATGCTCCACGGTATTGCTTTAAACGTATCTATCTCAATGAAAACAAAAAAGTGACACCACCAAGCCAAGTGTCAGGTCAGATCTATAGAAATACATTAATGCTGTACTGTGGAACATTTCTAGCATGATTCATCAGCCGGTTTCATTTCGTAGAAAGCGTGTACTTTTTTTTATTTAACCAATCGCTGCAGTTTGATCGTGACGTATGTAATGCACCAAATCCCGTAGGAAGATGGTCAATAACATCTTTCCCCTTGATACATTTCGACAAACATTCTCTTTGTTCCGGCTTGAAATCCTTGATCTTGGGAATCGTTGACAACACAGAATGTATGGCTCTTCGCTGATTGGCCGATGCGCAGTCTACAACTTCCGGGTTTCTTGCAAACTGTCTAGTGTATTCCGACTCCTGACCTAGTCGTTGGAGAGAAATGAAATTGAGTGGAATATTTCTGGCAAACCAATAAAGTCTCCATGGGGAAAAACTCAGATGACAGGCCCTCCAGCAGGAAAGTTACACAATACACCTTTACATTAAACATTCTCAGTCTAATTCAAATTTTTTTGTTGAACAGAAAATATCATGTTGAGTGCCATATTTCTCGCCCTGGCCACATATCAGTCCATGTACCCCATCACCCTCTGTGCCCCAGCCATGCTCTACATCATGCAGGTAGGCTCCTCTGTGTTTTGTTTGCATACAATGTTATGGTATCATAATTATGAAGACTTATATTGTTCCAGTTTGTCCATAAACAGTTAATCTAGTAGTAATTTATTCGGTCATTTTGCAGCACTACAAAACAAAACAAAACAAAAAATTGACTACAACCCCAAGACCTAAAGGGTTTAGGCTGAAGTAAAAAATACTTATATGCTTAACTCTATTAAACAATGACAAAATTCCAAGAAAAAAACAGCGCATAATCAGCTGGTTAACTTTTACAATCACTTCACTTCACTTCCGACTTACTGTATATGTAAGAGACAAAATATACATTAAAACAAACTAAATTTTATGCATAATTCATTCATTCCAGAGCTTTATGTCTTTAGCATAATGCCTTATACTCTTTTTTTTAAAGGCTTTTACAGTGTTAAACTCAGGTTATTCCATATACTAACCCCTCTAACAGATATACAATCACTTTTTTCTTAGTTCATATCTTCAGTTTTTTAAAGATACCTCTTCCTCTAAGGTTATACTGACTCTCTGCTCAAATAGCTCCTGTAAACAAGGAGGAAGCAGATGATTATTGGCCTTGTACATCACTACAACTGTACACAGGTCAACAAGATAACAAAAATTTAAGTACTTTCAGCTTCATAAAAAGAGGATTTGTTGGTGCATAGTAATTTGCATGATGACCTTCTTTTGGAGTAGAAACATTTTATTAATATTTGATTTATAAGTATCCCCCCATATTTCAACACAATAGTTTAGGTATGGAAGGAATAAACTGTTATATCGTAAATAAAGGGAATTTTGATATCAATAGCTATTACATATGCTTATTTTGACAGGCTTTGAGAAAGACTCTTCACTGTGTTGTTTTTCTAGTGCAATTTCTGAGGATGGACAATATGTACAAAGTACCATTAACAGTGCCATTACTGTTATCGAGATTCTGGGGAATTTGTTGGAATCAAAAAAGTCCCTGATTGAACGGTCCAGTATTTTTCATGGGATTGTTTCTGTTTTAATGGAAAAATAACTGTACTGAGACTGAAAATCTATTATATTATTATTTTTACCAATGTGAAAAGTTCATTTGTGAACAACTTTGCTTCTTTATGAGCCTTGCTTGAATTTGAATGTGTTGATATTGATCTTTGTAAATACTGGTTATCAGCCACACGAGTCTGATAAGCAAATTTATTCAGAAATGCACTAAAACGAGTCTATAAACATTATGGTTTAGGTTTTTGTATGACAATGGGCTGTTATTTGAAAGATTACACTGCAGATTTGTTCTTTTTCCTTAAAAATAAGCTTGATATTTTCTAATAGGTCTCTCCAAAACAACAATATGGATTTATTATATTTTTTTCTGACTAGGGATGCACTGATACAAAACTGGTACAAGATATTGGTGCCGAAGTAGAACATTTTGGTGAATCGACTATTGGCTTTCGAGATTTTGGTGTAGTAAGATGATTTTCTGGTCAATGTTTGGCTAAGTCATCTCATAATATTAAACGTGTATTTTTGCAAAGCTGTTCATTAGTTACAAAACAAATTTGGATAATTTTTACCTTATGCAGTCCCTCCACTTGTATCTGTGGATATTGGGTATCGGCACGTATTTAAAGCCACATTATCGACATTGGTATTGAATCTGCAAAAACTGTGTCAGTGCATCTCTAACTGTGTCTTCTCTGATGGTCTTCTGTCCTTCCCCAGCGGCTGTATATCCCAGTGAACTACCGCTGGGGCAGTTTTTGGTGGTTCGTGGTTCAGTACCTCTTCATTTATCTGGGCAGTCTGTTCGTCATCGTCTGCCTCTCCTTCTTCCTGCTCGGCTCCTGGGACTACATTCCCTCTGTCTACGGATTCATGTAAGCTCAGTTTTAAAAAGGCTCAAACTACTTTCTACATTTTTTTACATTCAGTTCTACATCTAAAATCTTGGCTTTCACTTTTTTCCAGTATTTGCACTTTTCAAATGGGGTGCCTGGCCTGTCTGAAAATATTATTGGCTGAAATGTTTCACAGTATTTACATCTGTCTTGTCAGTCACCATAGAGACAAGAGCTCTCGCCTCCTTCAGAAAAGTTATATTGTGCTTCTTTAATTTACATCAACACAAAGGAGAACACTTATGCCTAAGCAGAACGAAATAGAAAAACATTAGTTTACTTAAGTCAAGAAGAAAAACTTGTGATTTTCTAATTTACATCCTTCTCTTGCTATGGAAATTAGAATTGTACACATTTTTTTTGGAGCTTTCTATGATGTTATAACACTGCTCCCTCATCAAAAACATGCCTGAGGAGATTTTAGATGTCATCCATGCATGTTTGAGTAATTTAGCGATCTCTCCTGGGCCTCTGTTATCCATGCTCCCACAAAAACGTGATACAAAACTTTACACTAAAACTTCACAAACCTGATGTGATGTGCAGTAGCTTCATTAGCAGCACGCCCAGGGATTGTTTTGTGATGGCGCTCTGAAGGGGGAGTGACTTAACGCAGTGAGCAAAGGGAGGGTAGACTAATGAGGTCAAAAAAATGTCTGTGTTAATGCTGTTTTCGGGGAGATATAGCATTTTTCAAGCAGTAAAAAGTAACATGGTGATCTAATTATATTATGTGTTTGGAGTTAATAGAAGTACCCGCTCACTCACAAAATCACTCACAGAAAAGGTCTAATTGGGAAACATCTGACTAGTATTTCACTCCTTTCCTCTCTCTCTCCTCCACAGTTTATCTGTCCCAGACCTGACTCCAAACATTGGCCTCTTCTGGTATTTCTTCGCTGAGATGTTTGAACACTTCAGGCTGTTCTTCCTCTGCGTCTTTCAGATCAACGTGTTTTTCTACACCATTCCTCTCTCCATCAAACTCAAGTAAGTCATGTGACAATAATACACACATCACCCTAAACACTGAGACAGCCGACAAAATCAGAGGGCAAATAACAATATACAGGAGGTGTGTTGGTTACATTTACTCAGGTACATTTACTTTTTAAAGAAGTTTTCAGACTGAAGATTAGGGCTGGGCAATCAATCAGATCAATTTGATTAATTTGGATTTAGATAAAGAAAATGCAAAATCATAAAATCGAGGATTATTATTATGAAACAAGTTTACCTCTGACTTTTATTGTCAAAGCAGGGGTATTGTGCAATTACTATTAAACGTCTACTCAAATGTAACTGAATGTGATTTACAATTTCTTAAATAAAAACATATGATAAGAATGAAAATGTAAAGCTCTTCCCCTGTTTGACTTTGTAATCATCCAGAATGTGCAAAAAAATAGACTCTGTTTTTGTCTATAATCCCCAGCCCTACCGCAGACTTCTACTTATTATATATTTTATAATATAGTGTCACAGTACTCTTACTTAAGTAAAAGTTTTGGTTCCTCGTTCCACTGTGAGTAAGACTACAGGTGACAAAAGCTTTATGTAGACAATAGGGGTGTGCAAAAATATTGAAATATTGATATATCGTATCATTTAATTTGATGATACAGTATCGATATTTTGGGCTGCTGTATTGATATATCACCAAGAGTAATTTTTGGTAAATTTTATAAAATTATTTTGTGTAAGAGCTACAAAAGTGTTCACATTTTCACTGTTTTGATGAGTAAAATTGGTGTTTTTCATATTAACTTGGTAAACTTTTAGTATCACAATCATGATTTAGCCTTTTTTTCAGTGAACAGTATTGAATCTGTGTGAAATATAACGTTTATCGAACTCGTATCAAAACGAAAGCTCACTGTATTTTGACCTATGTATCAAGGTATATCGACAACTTCTTAATGATACCTAGAGTTAGCTGACAGTATGAAATTAATAAATCAACATCAAATTATAAATCAGATGTTGCATCCAGTCAGCTGCTACCGAAAATAACTTTTTGCTCTTACTTGAGTAATTTCTTAGACTGCTACTTTGTACTTTGAGTGATATTATTTTGAAGTAACATTAGTCTTACTTAAGTACAATTTGTGGCTACTCTACTCACACTTTTAGAAACAAGTGAATATTGGCTTGGTTCTCCTGCAGTTTTGAGTCAGATGATAAGAATCTGTTTGCTGAAGGTGTATGGATGGAGAAGCACTTCAGCATGACCACCAGATGGCAGTATGCAGTTTGATAAAGTGTTAGGAGCTTTTTGGGAGGGAGCCAGTTCTTGTTTAGTGCTGGTTTAATGCATCTCTTGTGAAATGCTGGAAAACGCTGTCTAAAGTGGTTCCGCTCATACAGAGCAAACAAAGTGAGTGACATGTCTTTCTCAAGGTCAACGTCGCAGCTTCTACCGTCTGAGCCAACGTCTTTATGGAGATACTTCCGAACACCATTTATAGCTTTGATGCTGATTATATTATATGTACGGCTGGGTATCATTAAGAAGTTGCCGATACAATACATACCTCGATACATGGGCCACGATACGATGCATATCTCAATACAGTGAGCTTACGATTCAGTACGATATATTTCAAATCGATTCAATACGGTTCAATAAAAAATAAAGGCTAAATCATAGTTGTGATATTAAAAGTCTTTGTTAAACCACTTCTTATGCAAAATTAATATGAAACACAAACATTTTAATCATCAAAACAGTGAAAATGTTACAAAAAAATGTAGTAAAATACACCAAAACATACTCTTGGTGATATATATCGATACAGCAGACCACGATACCAATACTGTATCATCACATTACATTATAACATGACTTAAAGCTCACAAGAGTCAATATTGTGTAGTATAGAACCTTTAATACATAGTTCCACTGAGCCTCTTTCAGAAAAGTTACATCGTACACCTTTAATTGTATTATTTAGTTTTATTTTATGACAGTTTTTCTTGTATTAACTGTTGTTACCAGGGCTGGGTATCATTCAGAAGTTGCCCGTACAATACATATCTTGATACATGAATCAATCAATCAAACTATACTTATAGAGCGCTTTTCATACAAAAAATGTAACACAAAGTGCTTTATAGTCATTAAAAACAATCCCACATTTCATTACACCCCACCCCCAAACCTAGGCCACGATACGATACATATCTCGATAAAGTGAGCTTATGATTTGATATATTTCAAATTGATTCGATACGGTTCAATAAAAAATAAAGGCTAAATCATGGCTGTGAAAAGTCTTTGTTAAACCACTTCTTGTGCAAAGTTCATATGAAACACAAACATTTTAATCATCAAAACAGTGAAAATGTCAAATGTGTTGCATAAACAAAACTGTCGCGCTGTAACAAAATAATTTAGTAAAATAATCCAAAAAATACTCTTGGCAATATATTGATACAGCAGCCCAAGATATTGATACTGTATCATCACATTAAACTATACGATATATCGATAGTTTAATATTTTTGCACAGCCCCAATTATATGTAACTGTACTTATGTTATTTTTTCACTTATTTTAAAGATCCTATATTACACAAAACTGACTCTTGTGAGCTTTAAGCCATGTTATAATGTTGTTACCACCTCAAAAACAAACCTGGATTTGTCTTTTGATTCAAATTCACTCTTAATTTGATGTATCAGTATTGTGGTCATTATTTTTAGTTTATTTCTCAAAACTAAGCTGGCAGCATTAATCATTTTGTTGCCATATCTTGATATTATTGTTATTACGAGGGAGCCAATGGGTTCTTATTACCATACTGTTTTTTTGTTCTCACTGTCGCATCGTCTAATTTGAAGCATGTTTTTTTTTCCAGGGAGCACCCGGTGTTCCTGATGTTCATGCAGTTGGCCGTGATGTCCATCTTTAAATCGTACCCCACAGTGGGAGACATGGCTCTGTACTTGTCCCTCCTCCCGCTCTGGAGCCACCTGCACAGATGTGAGGGACAAAAATAACTCACTGTTTATTCATTAACCACAAACTGGAGTTCACCTTTAGATGGAGGCGATGGGAAGGCAAAATATTTAAAAAGTAAAGTAGTGAGGATGCTGGGTTCATTACTGTGTTAAAGATGATGGTTCATGGTTGGGTAAATATAACAATTTTATAATTTTGTTTATAATATACCAGATCAGATAGAAATTGTTAATAAAATATGTTCATAAGACATTGTAACATTATCTTTAGCCTTCCAACATCACATCTACAATCTGCAACCTGTCTATACAACAGGGTACTCTTTATCACTGACAAAATTTCAAAACTTTTCTACGACCTAAAGTGAATTTTCCATGACTTTACAGCACCTACATGTGTAGAATTGATCAGACTTTTAGGGCTAAATATGAAATGTTAACCCTTTCCACTCCCCTTATGGTTTGGTATTATAGTTTTTTAACTTTCAAAATACTGTCAGTGCATTTATTGTCATCTCTTTTATACAAAAGGCACATACGTTTGAAAATAATCATAATAGCCTAATGAAAACTTAACAAAACGATGCAGGTGAGTGAAAGAGAGATGAAAATTTCATGACTTTTTCATAACTTTCATTGAAATTACAAAATTCCATGACTTTTCCAGGATGTCCATGACTGTGGGAACCCTGAGATTATTTGATCCTGTAGATAAAGAAAAAGAGGTAGAGCGTTTCACTGGGTCATAAAAAAGTTTAAAAAAAATAGCAGTACAGGTTCTCTACGAGGGTTAAATTAGTAGTCTTCAAACAGAAAATTACTCTTACTGGAAAATGTAAACGTGGGCAAGGTACAAATCCAAGGCACACTGACTGAATATATTAAAAGTCCTTTATTTCATGAAGGGACACCAACGCATTTCGACCAGCAAGATGGCCTTCGTCAGGGCAAAGTCGATTGATCCGAATTCAAACTCAAAATGAACATAAATAGTATATTTATTCTAGTGGCTCAGTTTCACTTAAAGAAGTCTGGGTTTTATTTTATACATTCCAAAGTGCGACATAATAATCTGTAATCTAAAGAGTACAAACAAACATGAGCACAAAATGTACTTATGTTTTGTAATCAAATGCACTGCCCTCTCCACAGTCCTGAGAAACATCTTCCTGGTCACGTGTGTGCTGATCGCCTGCTCCGCTCTGTTCCCTGTTCTGTGGCATCTGTGGATCTACGCGGGCAGCGCCAACTCCAACTTCTACTACGCCATCACACTGCTCTTCAACGTGGCTCAGGTGAGACGTGGGACTGGGGAGCAAAAGTACATCAGAGGACAGAATGTATAGAACCTTTCAAGATACTGAAGGCGCCCTGCATTATTGGGGCAGGCTGATGGGAGCGAAGCCGTCGAAGGCCAGTACCAGTGCACGGGTTTGTGTAGGACTACGCTCCACTGTGAATTTGATGGACATGTTTTCTGACCTACGAGACACAGATGTTTTAGTTTGTGCTTCTGTGGTTCTGAGTTTAGGGCAAAATGGAAGTATATTTGCATGTTTTTGTATTTTTTCATTTGGATGCCAATAATATTTACAGTATGTCTGATCAGTTTAAATTAATAAACCTGCTGCAGCAGTAGGAGCTCTCCCCTCAGAGAAGAAGCTCCATTCCTAGACTTCCCTTTCTATGTGGAGTTTGCATGTTTGCGGTTTGCACTGTACAGCTACACACATTGCATTGTGGATATAACGATCATGTAATATGGTCTGGGCTCCTCATAAGATGCTTCTGTGGTGACGAACTGCCCCCACCGATGCCTCTTGGGGGACCAGGCTAATATCTCTGATTGCGCTGGTTTGCGTTTGTGTCTGTGTCTGTCCTGATCTAAGTGAAGTGTCTTTGAGTGTGATGAAAAGTGCTATAGAAGTGTTATGTATTATGTTATGTATCTCATGGGGGCTTCTGGCTGACACCTGTACTACCTGTTTTCATTGTAATTTAAAATGTTGTCTATTAACATTATTCTTTTCTTAGATTCTGCTGGTGTCAGATTACTTCTACGCCTTCTTACGGAGAGAGCACCACCTCACGTACGGACTTTACCTGAAGAAGAAGGACGGCTCAGAGGCTACGCTCGTATTAAAATAACTCTTAAAGACCTCTTCAGTCCCGTTTGAAGACGCAGACCAGCCAGTGGACAGCACAGATGAGTATTACCTATAAAGGGAAAGGCATCTCGCCACACAGGAGGAAATTAAATCAAAACTCCGGATCGCTGTTGGTGGAAGATGCTGAGAGACTGAACGTATTAAACCCAACTAAAACGTGGGATGTAGACTATGCCTTTTTTACTTTGAAACATTTGGAACTTCCTCTATATAAAAAAAAAAAAAATCTAGCTTTTATTTTGAAACCTTCCGTCTTGCAAGATTTTTTGTTGTTGTTTACTGTGAGTTTATGCCGAAATAATTCCTGGAATTCAAGTTTTGTGTACTTATATATATATATTTTTTTTCCACCAGTTCTTTTGAATCAACACTGGAAGTTTTTACTCATAGGAATGTTGTTACGAATGTTGAAATTTCAGATTTTTTTTTAAAAATACATAGATTAAAGAGGGGGGTATTATGCAAATTCAACTTTATGGAGCTTTCTACCATGTTATAATGTTCGCTTATCAAAAACATGCCTGAGGAGATTTTAAATGTCATCCGTGCAAGTTTGAGTAATTTAGTGACCTCTCCTAGGGCCTATTCAAACCCTCCTTAAGGTTTAGCTGTAAGATTCTGTCAAATACTTCATCCACAAGCCTCCTTCATGCTCCCTACATGACATTTCTCCTTAAATACAGTCGTCCCTCGCTATTTCACGGTTCACCTTTCACGGTCTCCCTCTTTTGCTGATTTTTTTAGTGCAATTTTGCATGCTTTTTTTTTTTTTTTTTTTTTTTTTAAACAGCGTATGAACACATTGTGTTTCTCCCCCTGCATAGCCTCAGGATTGACTATTGTCAATCAATCTCCTCCGTGCCCTGTCTCCTGTACAGAAGAAAATGTGTTCAGCTGCCAAATTTACATAAATGTTCGATCTCTACCAGTGTGATTCTGAAGTGCTGCGTGATCGGGCAAGTGCCGCGTTTACCATGAGGTGCGGAGCTCTGCGTTGGTCCTTTCTTCTGTGGTCACCTCCAAACCTGTCCCGACAGTGAGTCCTGGTTCAGTTCTGGTTTAGTTCTGGAATCAGGGCTGGGTTAGTCCTGGTGTAATCTAGGTTTAGTCCGTGGTGTATGCAGCGCAAAAGTTTCATTTAATCTTGGGTTAACGGGCAGGTGCAGTCTTGTACTGTGCTGTTGCAATCTCCAAAAATGGACCCGTGCAGGAATCTGCACTGTAGGGCTCCATTACAGAATAAATGAATCTTGGGTTCATTACATAAAGAAGGAGGAAAATAACATAAGAACGACAGCAGCAATAAGAAGGATGCAAAAAGGGTAAACTGTCCTGTGTGAGAAAAGTGTATACAGTGTGTGGTGAGGGGTTTTACAGCTTTAAAACAATATAATAATTGTAAAATATAAAATTGACTACTTCGCAGATTTCACCTATCGCAAGTTATTTTCAGAATGTAACCCCGCGATAAACGAGGGTCCACTGTATACAAAAGCGTCATACAAAGCAATACACTACAACTTCACAAACCTGACACAATGTGCAGTAGTTTCATTAGTGGAATGCACAACAATTTGTGTTGTGAGTGACTTAGCACAGGGAGCAAAGGGAGGAGGTCTGATTAAAACAAAAGTAAAACATGTTAATATGTGTTTTTAGCAGATGTAGCATTTTTAAAACAATAAAAGATAACATGTTGATCTAAATATGTTACCCCATAGACGTGTAATACCCCCTCTTTAAGGCCTTACAATTGAGGTTAAAAAAAAAAAAAAAGTAAGAATAAGTGAAATTTTGCTTACAGTTTAATTACAAAGAAAACACATTTTGTAGGCTATTTATCACCTTGGAAACTAGTTTGCCTTGACATCATAAAATATAATTGTAATAACTAACTCAATACTCCTCCTACGCCTTTTTTTGTTCATACTGCCATATTAAAAACGTTTCTGTAAACCAAAATAAGGAAAATACGATTATAAAGTGGGCTGCATGTGTCTTTTCAATACCCAGTTTTAGCATTGACCTAAAAATAATAATTGATTTTCCATGTTTAAAGATACAGTATGCCTTTTTATTCACCTTAATTATAATGTATTTTGGTACTTGCTGCACTAAGGGTTAAGACTCATTAACACTGATTTTTTTTTAACAAGTTTAATATTCAAACATTTTAATTCAAAACAGCAGTTCTTATTCAAATCATTGCGAATTTGTGAGTATAATTTTAGCATAACGTTGCATAACTTTTGTGTTGGACGGTTTGTCAAAGGCTTTTCTTCCTGGAGATGTTACTGCTTTGTCTGGAATGTTTCACAGTATGGCATTAAACCTTTCTATCTTCATGGAGACCAAACCAGATCAAGTTACAGGTCAGATCTGTGGAGAGGCGACCCCACTCACAGTCAGAATCCCTGTTTTTCTAGGTATTTTTGAGCAATAAAACCACCTGTAATTTAATAAATGTAAAGTAGAGCTGTTTAATGTCAAACTGTGGAACATTCCAGAGCAATGACATATGCGTAGAAACAAGCAAATGACGGACTCTCCACCAGAAAAGTTACGCAATGCATCTTTAAATGAATGTTGCTTAATTCGATTTCCCCTTGTCCGTGTGAAGGCCAACGAATGAATGAACAATGATGTAATATTTATTTATTTTGCTGCACTGTAAAAAGATTTATTTTGTGTTCCTCCTTTGTGTTCATTTGCTGTTTTGATACAGTTTTGCTTTAAAAAGAATATTAAAATGTTGGGTTTATTAAAACAAATTATACTGATAATTATGATACAAAGTTGTGGTAAAGAATTTTTTTTATTTCTCGTCTTTTTGTGTCTCAAATAATGTGCGTTAGGTTGTACATGTGACTTCTTTGATACAGGGTCCACCGCCTGCTTGTTTTCATGGAGATGTATTGTGGAACATTCCAGGCAAGACGAAGAACCAGTTAGAACCCCGGTGTGTCCAAGTTTTATATTTTGAAAATCTGGTGTAAAGGGTGCAGATTACACTTCGTTTTCAGTGTTATAATGTTGTTTCCTCTTCAAAAACAGACCTGGAGTTGTGTTTTGTTTCATTCAGACATGTTTAAAACACAAACCCAAAGCACACACACCACACAGCACACCTTGAGATGTCATGTGGTAATATAGGAATTGTACCAGTTGTGTTTTTAAACTCCATACACCTACACTAGGAAATTTTGGGATGATTTCAGCACTGGAATTGAAATAGTACTGAACTGAACTGAACTAAAGGTAAAAGGTAGCTGTTAACTTGAAAACTACCACTACATGACATCACAAGGTGGAACAGCTCATTCTGAGTTTTGGAGATGTAGACAGACTAATAATAAAGGATTACTCAAACATGTGTGAATGAAACAAAACACAACTCCAGTTATGGTTTTGAGTAGGTAACGACATTATAACATGGCTTAAAGCTCACAAGACTCAATTTTGTGCAATATAGGAGCTTTAATGCCATGATGAATGTTCTAGGCAAAGCAACATCTTCATGGTGACAGGCAAACAGATTATGTTTAGTCTCCACCAGAAAAGTTACGCAGTGTACCTTAAAGTAAAGAATGAAGCGACATAATAACAATGATGTTTGGTGTTATACTAGTGTGACCAGATGTCCCTTATTTACCCAGGACAGTCCCACTTTTGAGCCCAGTGTCCCCTGTCCCAGCAGATGTATACAAAACCAGTGATTTGTCCCAGTTTTATAAAAGAAATGTCCCAGCTATCCCTATTTTTTGACTAATCTGATCCCTGCCAACAGTAAACACTGTCATTTACTTAGGTAAAGTACACAAAAACTGCCTAAAAATGACCAAAACACAAAGAAAATGTGACTACACTGACTCAAATGTCATGAATGGGCCAGGTGCAGAACAATTTTCCTTAATTATGTGCTCGTTTCACAATTTTATTATTACCAACCACCAGTGTTGGGAGGTTACTTTTAAAATATATTCCCCTACAGATTACAGATTACATACACCAAAATGTAGTTTGTAACATAATCCATTAAATTACTTAAAGTGAGTAACATAATCTGAATACTTTGGATTACTTGATTTGCTCTAGAGAAGCAAAGATGAGGAACTCTTCGCATAAGATGTTTTGTCTGCTAAAAGAAAATGGAAAGCCCAGAATTTACTTATAGAAGAGGAGGAGACACATCCATGCAGCATGATTTAGTCCTGGTTTAGTCCTGGTTTTAATCCTGGTTTAGATCTGGTTTAGACCTGGTTTAGATCTGGTTTTAGATCTGGTTTAGATCTAGTTTAGATCTGGTTTAGAGCTGGATTTAGTCCTGATTTAGTCCTGGTTTTGATCTAGTTCAGACCTGGTTTAATTTCCGGTACATGTAATCTGTTACTCCCCAACACTGCCAACCACCACAAATCGGGGGGGTGTCCTAGTTCTGTATTTTGCAAATCTGGTCACCCTATATTATACAAGCTAAACATGAATTATAATAACCACCAACACGGGGGAGGTCTCAGTTACAAATCTTCCCCGGAAAAACCACCAAACTCCGCCTGTAAACTCCCCTTTCTCTCCCTCCCTCAAATATACGCTTGACATCGTCCCACCAATCAAACACGCCTCTCCTCCAAACACCCGCCCCCTCTGACCGCTCCGGACCAATCAGCGCGCACTACGTTACCAGCTGTTTAAAATATTCATAAGATTTCGCGCGCTTACGGAACCACGTGATTATTTCGCGGGAAAAGCTTGCCCGGTCCGGAAGAGCTGCACTTTTCTCTCCCGGAGCAGAGACTTCACATCAGCACAATGGCGGTGAGTGAAAATCAAGAAAATACACAAAAATACATATTATATTTCATTTTTTTAACTCTACGTGCGTGTAGTGAGAACGAGGGACTGACGAAATGGGTTTTGTTTTTGCGGAGAGCGACTTGAATAAAGTTTTGACGTTGCAAAGAGTTGATAACAAAGGCATGGCGTGCAGTTTTATAGAGGTTTTAGACTAGATTTCAATAGACTGATTGTCAAAACTGTTTTAATAAAGCCTAAAAGTGCTTGTATTTGACGTAAACTTGACTGAACCTTGATAATGCTGAGATCTGTGCAGAAAAAAAAAATAGTTTTAGTAGATTTTAGACTTGTGCCATGTGGCCCAGTTGTTCTTGCCTGTCAGTGTGCATGCATAATCCTAAATCGCGACGTTAAAATGCATGAAATATGTTGTATTTTACATAACTACGATATAACTACAGTATATTTCCTCTCAAATGTCAGTGTGTATTCAGTATTTTTCTTTATGTTGATGTTAGATGGGGGCTTCCAAATAGTTTTGAGCTGGACAGTGTGCAGTGAAACAAAAGAAGCTTTTCAGATTTGCGCAGTAGTTGGTTCTTTCTTCAACGTTTATTTCAGATCAGAGAATAAGTCAGAAATATCTCTGAAAGATAATTCTACAGGTAGATATAAAGCTTCATCACATAAGTAAATGATTTGGTTCATTTGTAATTCAGCTGGTGTTTTGGCATTATCACATTTTGGAATCGGAAAATATTATATAAACATAATAATCCCCCCAAAACTGAAAGTAATAATAATCTAAACATAACCTTATCTAGAATTGAAAAATGAACAGCAATAAATATATAAAAATATCATTAAAGGAAAGTGAGCGTTGTTTGACAGTTTACATCTCTTCAGACTACAGTTAAGAGATCACAGGTTACCAAAGTTAAGTGTCTGTATCTGATGATAAATAATAAGCCTGGAGGTTTTTGTTTATTTATTGGACAAGTTGATCTTGAGGCATCCACAAAAATCTGTTCATTAAGGGTTACCAACTCAAGTATTAAACTATATCATATGATCTGTTATAACATGGTTTATGTAAACGTGCTTATCTCCTCTCTCAGGATTCCTCTGAGTCTTTCCACATGGCCACCAGCCCGACCAGGACCTCCCGCAGAGGAGACCTGACCTCCAGCCCGGGGCGAGACCTGCCCCCATTTGAGGATGAGTCCGAGGGGCTGCTGGGAGACGCCACCATCCACGAAGAGGAGGAAGAGGATGGGGACGGAGAGGAGCTGATTGGAGATGGGATGGAGAGGTAAACATGGACAAGATATTTATTATCCATATCGTATTCTAGAAGTGAAATTGGTCATTAGTTTTTCAGCAAGGTGGTTTCATGACATGTTTAAAATAAAGGCAAAATAACTCTTTAACATTAACTTCTAACATAAAATGACAGACTTAAATCAAGTTATCAAAAGTATTTCATCATAAAACTGTAGAAGTACATCTATTCAGGAGTTTCTCAGGATGTTACCTTTGACCCACCATTACCAGCCTTTTTTAAAATCAAACATTAATATAATTTCAGTTGCGCATTTGTCAACAAATCATTTCATATTTGTCCCCCTGCCTGATCGTTGTATTGTCCATCTCCAGGGACTACCGCGCCATCCCAGCCCTGGACCGGTACGAGGCAGAGGGTCTGGACCTGGATGAAGAGGATGTGTCGGAGATGTCTCCTGGAGCTCGCGCTGCTGCTGAAGAGGCCATGAGGAGGAGGGACAGAGAGCAGGGGCTGGGGAGGCGTGGCAGAGATCTGCTCTTCGGTGAGGGGCTAAGACGGTTTATAAAGTGATTATTCATAAACACTAAGGATAGAATGGTCATATGACTTTGTTATTGTATTCTTCAGAGGAATTATTGTGTATATTCTCTAAACACCTTTGTCTCTTTACAGACAGTGAAGATGAGGATGACGAGCGGCCCTCAGCTTTTAAAAGGCGATTGCTTGAGAGGGCAGCGGAGGGCGTGACCGAGGGAGAGGACGAGGAAATGATCGAGAGCATTGAGAACCTGGAAGACATGAAGGTTTGTCTGGAAGGGCATCTGATGTAATCTTAAAACAAATCTGGGCATACTTAATGGCCTTACCAAAGATTAGACCAAGTTAATGACTGCATCACTGCATTATACTATTACATTGCTGTATTATTATTATTATTATTACATTGAGTTTTTCTATATGGATATTGGTTTAGTTTACTCATTATAAATTATATTCTGCTCTGTGTACTGAGTTATTATTTAGTTTCGTCTTCTCATTTTTACTGGTGAATTAATATAATTATTTTTTTCTTTTTCAGGGCCACACAGTGAGAGAGTGGGTGTCCATGGCAGCTCCCAGACTTGAAATTTACAACAGATTCAAGAACTTCCTCCGAACTCACGTAGATGAAAACGGACACAATGTTTTTAAAGAGAAGATCAGCGACATGTGCAAAGGTAAGACACAAGTTGGTTAGTTAAGAATAAAACTATATTTGAACACAGAATTTTAATAAACTTACTTTACTTTGCAGAGAATAAGGAGTCATTGGTGGTAAACTATGAGGACCTGGCTGCTCGAGAGCACGTCTTGGCCTATTTCCTGCCTGAAGCTCCCACTGAGATGCTTAAGGTTAGTGTTTCTTCTTTGAATGCCTTTAAAGCTGCACTGTGCAACTTTTCTAGCCTGATAAAAGTAAAATAACTACCAATCTTGATCTGTAGATTTTTGATGAAGCTGCTAAAGAAGTAGTGCTGGCCATGTATCCAAAGTACGACCGAATCGCACGCGACATCCACGTGCGCATCTGTAACCTTCCGCTGGTGGAGGAGATTCGCTCACTCAGGTAGAGAACACAACAATATACTAAGCGTTTATCCATATCCATATACAATTTATAACTTTATTTTTATTTTCCCCTCCAGACAGCTCCATCTGAACCAGCTGATCCGCACCAGTGGGGTGGTGAGCAGCTGCACGGGGGTCCTGCCGCAGCTCGGGATGGTCAAGTACAACTGTAACAAGTGTAACTTTGTCCTGGGGCCCTTCTTCCAGTCCCAGAACCAAGAAGTGAAGCCGGGGTCCTGTCCAGAGTGTCAGTCCCAGGGGCCCTTCGAGATCAACATGGAACAGGTCAGAAAAGTGTATAGAAAAGGAAAATCACCAGTACTTAACATGAATTTTGATATGACATAATCTCATGTTTTGAAAATGGTCGCTAAAAGTCTGTGTGAAGCTTCTAGAAGTACACAAAATAAAATTAAAAAGTGCAGCAAATCCAGTATATAAGTATAAGGTAACCAAAGAAATACTGTTTTAGTTATTATCTTTTTTTAAACAGTTTCATATAGTTTTAGTAAAATATAACTGCATGCTGCAACTACTGCTGCTACTAATACAAATAATAATCATCTGAGCATTTTTTTCTCTCTGTATACAGACAGTGTACCAGAACTACCAGAGGATCACCATTCAGGAGAGCCCGGGCAAAGTGGCTGCTGGGCGTCTGCCTCGCTCCAAAGACGCCATCCTTTTGGCCGATCTGGTCGACAGCTGCAAACCCGGAGACGAGATTGTGAGTTACGGACTGAACTATGGCCTATTCACAATACATTAATCATTTCGGTTTAGATTTAAGGGCCTGTTTACACGAGAACGCTTGCGAGTAAAAACGACAAAATATTTTATCGGAAGTGAAGTTTATCTTTTAGACGGTGACGGTGTTTTTGGGGCTTAAAAACGCAAAAATCTGAAACCACCCTCCAGAGTGCAAAAGTTGAACACGCTCAGCCATAATGTTTCTGTCCACGCTGCCCAAGACGCAAAACTCTGGTCAGATCTGCTCATGTCGCGTACGAGTTTATGTCACATACATCACCACCTAGCCCCACCTGGCATGCATACCCAATTGAATTTTGTACACTTTTGCGTCACCGTATGCACGCAGATTTCCTCCCAAAACACTCCTCTAAACACGGAATATAAAGTAAAGACGTGACACCACTTTTGCGTCTTCTCTTCAGACCGTCATCATATAAACGTAGTCTTAGAGATGTAACATTAACAGAAATATTGTACTACTCAGAAGTTACACCTTGAAATAATACATCATTCACTTGTTTCTATGGGGATGTGATTGCTCTGCCTCGAATGTTCCACAGTATGACATTTAATAGCTCTACCGTTTATTAAATTACACGTGGTTTTATAGCTCATAAATTCCTAGAAAAACAGCCATTCTGACTGAGTGGAGTTGCTTCTTCACAGATCTGACCTGTATCTTGGTCTGGTTTGGGGCCCATGAAGATAAAATGGCTTAATCCCATACTGTGAAACATCCAAAGTATCAACATCGCCATGGAGAAAAAGCATTTGACAGACTCTTCACCAGAAAAGTTACAAAATGCACCTTTTTTTTATTGAAACACAATAAATTTTCCTTTAAATGTTTTTGTTGGAGTCCCATCTAAGGGAACTACCGTGATCCTTTGCTTCATTTTGGTGTAGACAACTTGAAAAAATACTTATTAAACAGTTATAAAACGTGTTAATATTAAATAGGGTTGTTCCGAGCTATTTAATGTCATACTGTGGAACATTCCAGGCAGAGCAATGACATATCCATAGAAATGAGAAGGCAACAAACCCCCCAAACCAAAAAGTTACAAAGCACACCTTTTAACTTGGTCTTTATTATCCCTCTTTTGTAGGAGCTGACGGGCATCTACCACAACAACTACGACGGCTCCCTGAACATGGCCAACGGGTTCCCGGTGTTTGCGACGGTGATTCTGGCCAATCACATCACGCGCAGGGACGAGGGCGTGGCGGTGGCCGAGCTCACCGATGAAGACGTCAAGGCCATCGTGGCACTGTCCAAAGACGAGCGCATCGGAGAGAGGGTAAGGACCAGACGTGAGGAGTAAGCAGTAACTGACTTATATTTGGAAATTGCCCAATTTTTTTTAAGAATCTATAGAAACTGATGGAAAATTCTGATACTCAATTTAATCATGATCTGGTGATTGTAGACATGTTTAATAGACCTTAAATTTGTGTATTTAATTGGTACTGAGATAAATATTTGCCAAGTAGATCTGTTTATGCGTTTTAAATCGAAACACATTTAGTAGAGTGGTCCCCAACCTTTTTTGCACCACGATCCGGTTTTATATCACACAATATTTCACAGACCAGAGGGGGTTGGCATGGTGCTCAGTCCCGGCTCAGTCCCGGCTCAGTCCCGGCTCAGTCCCGGCTCAGTCCCGGCTCAGTCCCGGCTCAGTCCCGGCTCAGTCCCGGCTCAGTCCCGGCTCAGTCCCGGCTCAGTCCCGCACGACGTGCAGGAGGAGGGGCAGTCCATGCGGTGTAGGGAAGGGGGCGGCGGTGGGACAGTCACGCGGTGTAGGAGGGGCGGCGGTGGGACAGTCCACGCGGTGTAGGGAAGGGGGGCGGTGGGACAGTCCACGCGGTGTAGGGAAGGGGGCGGCGGTGGACAGTCCACGCAGTGTAGGGAAGGGGCAGCGGTGGGACAGTCCACGCTGTGTATGGGAGGGGGGGTTCGTGCTTTTGTGGCCCAGGAGTTGGGGACCCCTGATTTAGTAAACAAAAATTCTTGTTTTTCTGCTGTAATCTTTTATTTTTTCAATTACAGTCAAGCTCTGTCGTTATTTTTGGGCCAATATACAAAGCCGATTTTAATTATTTTCCCTAAATTATGCGAAGTCACAGTGCTATTTTAACCACAAACCTGACAGAACAGTTAAGTCTTATGCTTTTATCTTCACACTAAAATGTTCAAATGAAGCTTTACTCATATTCTTTAAGCAGCTGGTCGTCCCAAATTAAAAATGGGCCTCTGCTGGAGATTTAAGACGGATAGACAATATGCAAAAAAGTACAAATATCAGCCACCTGCTTTATTGGTCTAGTTAAAATTCTGTGAGCTTTTAACATTTTCTGTATTCATTGCTGTATTCAAAGACTTGACTCCCAGACTTGACATTTATTCTTAAACTCTGGTGCATGTAGGATTCAGAAATGAGAAAAAAAGATCTCCTGCTCGCTAAGATGAACGGTAATTATTCATAGGCCAAAACTCATTCCAGTTCTGGTTGTGATAAAGGATTATTTTAACCAGCCCTGGCTCTGTACTTCTCCATTTTAAAACTCTTTAATCAGTTTTTTCCCAACTATATAATGAAAAAAAAGACTAATTCTGTCATTTAAATTTCTTATTTCAAAGGACAGTCCTGTTCCTGCTTTTAACAAATGTATTTAAACTAAGATTTTATTTCTGTTTTAGATCTTTGCCAGCATGGGTCCATCCATCTACGGTCATGAAGACATCAAGAGAGCTCTGGCCTTGTCTCTTTTTGGAGGAGAGCCTAAAAATCCTGGTACGTCTGAGCCTGAACGTGTTATTATATTATAGTATTTTTTTTAACGTATCTATATTAATGCTTTGTTTATTTGTAAAGGCGGCAAACACAAAGTGCGTGGAGACATCAATGTTCTTCTGTGTGGAGACCCAGGAACAGCCAAGTCACAGTTTCTCAAGTAAGATTTAATAAAGTATTTGATGAACTAAAGTACAATGTGTGTAGCTGTTGTCTTGTAATGCTAAAACTTCATCCTCCTCTTCCACCTCTTCCTCCTCCTTTTTTTTCCTCCCCCCCTCCTCCCCTCTTTCTCCTTTTCCTACTCTTCCTCCTCTTCTTCATGCTTCTTCCTCCTCCTCTTCCTTCTGTCTTCTTCATACTTTCTTTTCTTCATGCTCCACTTTCCTCCTCTTCTCTTTCGCCTCCTCTTTTTTTTTCATGCTCCTTGTTCCTCCTCTTCTTCATGCTCTTCGTCCTCTTTTCTTTTCTTAATTCTCCTTCCTTTTCTTCATTCTCCTCCTCCTTCCTCCTCATCTTCCTCATCTTCATGGTCTTCCTCCTATTCTTCTGCTCTTCTTTCTTTTCTTCATGCTCCTCCTTCCTCCTCTTTCTTCTTCCTCTTCATGCTCTTCTCTCTTCCTTTTCTTCATGCTTCCTCTACTTCTCCCTCTTCTTCCTCCTCCTCCTCTTCATGCTCTTCCTCCTCTTCTTCTGCCTTTTCTTCATGCTCCTTCTCCCTCCTCTGCTTCCTCTCTCTTGTCCTCCTCTTTCCTCCCCCTCTTCTTTTCTTCAGGTATGTGGAGAAAGTGGCCAGTCGTGCGGTGTTCACCACGGGTCAGGGAGCGTCCGCGGTCGGTCTCACGGCGTACGTGCAGAGACACCCGGTGAGCCGCGAGTGGACTCTGGAGGCTGGAGCTCTGGTGCTCGCCGACAGGGGAGTGTGTCTCATCGACGAGTTTGACAAGGTAAATATTACTTCAACGGAAATGATGATGGTGAAAATAATATTAAGTATAGAGACTAAAAGTGTTTATTAAAAAGTGGAACTAAAAGAGAGAAAGGGAAATTAAATTGTAAATTAGCCAAAATGTAAATAAGAGTGCCACAGCAGTATGATTATGCTGCACTACCACATTTACTTTTGTTTTATTTAATTCAATTTGTGTGTTGGGAGAAGGAGTGGGGAGTTTTATTGTTTTATGTTTTTATGTTTATTATTGTATTTTGTTAAATGTTACATTATAGTAAAGGAAAAAAAAAATACTACCTCAACTACTTCTGCTATTTCACTACTAATACACAAGTGCTTATATATCAGGGACTGTTTGAATTGTATTTTAGATGATAATACCAATATTTTATTATGTAGTACAAATCCTTGTTACTTGTTTACTTTTTGAAAATGATTCTGCTCATATTACTACAAATACAATCACTACTGTGTCAGTCAATACTACTAATAATTGTACACGTATCAGGGTTCACATGATCATGGAAATCCAGGAAAAGTCATGGAATTTTAGTTTAATCTCTTTCACTGAACTGCAGCGCTCTGTTAAGTTATCTTTAAGCTGTTGTGATTATTTCCGAACGTATGGGCCTTTTGTTTAAAAAAGACGACAACAAATGCACTGACAGTATTTTGAGTGTTAAACTATAATACCAATCCATAAGGTGAGTGGAAAAGGATAACATTTTATATTTAGCCCTAAAGTATGATCAATTATACACATGTAGGTGCTGTAAAGTCATGGATAATTCACTTTAGATCATGAAAAAGTCATGGAAAAGTTCTGAAATTTTGTTAGTGGAAAAAGAGTGGGAACCCTGAGTTATAGGACTAAGCTGTAGTTTGATTGGTTAGAGAGGGGTCATTCTTAAAGGTGCACTGTGTAACTTTTCTAGTGGAGGTTCTGCCACCTCCTTGTCTCCATGGTGAAGTTATTGTTTTGTCTTGAATGTTTCGGTGTGTCATTAAACGTATCCATCTTGCATTTACTCAATAATATGGGTTTTTATTGACCTAAAAACTTGCAATCTGAGTTGAATTCAGTATTTCCTTGGAGAGAAGCAGGTGACAGACCCTCCACCAGAAAAGTTACACAGTGCACCTTTAAGAATGAACTCTCTAACCAATCAAACTACTGCTAAAGTGACATTTAAAGCCGACATCTACAGTAATATTACTCTTACCACTACTACCACTGTTCCATTCAGGTACGTCATTGCACAAGTGTTTTGAAGTTTTATCTCAGACCACAAAAAATTTCCTTTTATGAACCCGTTGGCGCCCCCTTGTGTGTTCTAGATGAACGACGCAGACAGGACCAGTATCCACGAGGCCATGGAGCAGCAGAGCATCTCCATCTCTAAGGCTGGAATCGTCACGTCTCTCCAGGCTCGCTGCACCGTCATCGCTGCTGCTAACCCCATTGGTACAGAACACGATTTCATAACACTGATTTAAAGGGAGCACTGAAGGGTTAAAAGTTACAAATTAATAAAATGTTGTGTTCCAGGCGGCAGGTACGATCCCTCCTTGACCTTTGCGGAGAACGTGGATCTGACGGAGCCCATCGTGTCTCGATTTGATGTCCTGTGTGTGGTCAGGGACACTGTGGACCCTGTGCAGGTATAGACAATTAAAGCATATATATACATTGGCTATTCATGGTTTTTCTGTTTACTTTTTTGGTGGCATAGTAATTTACCGTAATTTTACATCCCTCAAGAGACAGTTTCTGCAGAAAAGTGAAAAGAAAGGAAAAAAAAAACAAGTGCCATTAGTACCCTGTGTATTTGTGACATGAAAATGGGGAGGAAATGTATCCAAAAGATGAGAACAAATGATTTGATTTAAACCTAATTGGGTCTCATAAACATAAATCCTGATTCAACATGTTTTGACGTGACTGCTCTCAATTTTATTAAACACTGAGGCAAGGAATTTTATCCAAAAGAAAATTTCAAACCAGCCAATGAAGACATAAAATCAACTATTATAGAATGTTAACTTGTCAAATGCATTGATTTTATTTATTTTTTTTTTCAAGTTTTGAGCTGCAGCTTCAAAAATACAGCGTTTTTACTAGATATTAGATTACATTTTACTAGATATTATTAGATTACAAAGATAACATAATACAACATGCATGCAGTGTTCAGTTTTTTTTTTTTTTTAATAACTTATGAATGTGAAATTTATCTTTTTTTTTTTTTTTCCAACTCCAGGATGAGATGCTGGCCCGATTCGTGGTGGGCTCTCACATCAAACATCACCCTGGAAACAAAGAGGCGGGCGCAGCTTTAGAGGAGGTGGTCCTGCCCAACTTGTCCGACGTGCCCACCATCCCCCAAGAACTTCTGCGAAAGTACATCATCTACGCCAAAGAGAGGGTATGTGCCACTACAGTGTCTACTCATGGTTTTAAAGCACATTTGAATGGGCCTTTTCAACTTGAAATTGCTAAAGGCCAGTCATTTGGGAGTAATTTGTGGTATTTTTTTTGTTCAGATCCATCCTAAATTGAACCAAATGGACCAGGACAAAGTGGCTCGTATCTACAGCGACTTGAGGAAAGAGTCTATGGTAAGTCTTATTTTCAGTGACAATTCAAATCTTATTTCATATATTTTTGTGGTATGCCTTCCTTTCCTGCTAATTGTACTGTAAAACTAAAAAGCTAACCATTATCTGTGGGCATGCTCTTGGAGGCTGTGGTTTCTGCCCACATTTTTCCCCAAATATAAAGTTGTTAAATTGCGAAAATTGATTGTAATTACTTTGATAATCCATGTTTTAAGATCAAGATATTGTCCAGATTTGAGGCAAGTGAAATAAGAAGTGCTTTCAGAACATGATTGTAATGCAGAGGCTCCCAAAGTCATAAAATTATAACATTGTATTTGAACAGTTATTTCATTTAAAAGTATATTCAGATAAACATAAGATTCTAATTCAACATCTTATGACACTTAGAATGAGAAAGCCGGTTTCATTCTGCATTGGGAGTCTAGTGTCAGTTATTTTGGGGTTACAGCCTGAAAAGTTGTGCCTGTTGCATAAAATCTGTCAAACCTGTAGAGTTTAGACCTGTACATTATAGTAAGTTACTGTATATATACATATAAATGGACTTAGCATTTCAAATAGGAGTGCACTTCTGGCTCCAATTCACTTCACACTGAAAAATTGTCACTCTCTGTGTTTTAAGTTTTACAATTTGTCATTATAACTCATTAAAAGCACTCCTACTCCTCTTTTCTCTTCTGTTTGAGTTGTTTTGACTTGACTTGACCTGACTGTGTTTTGGTCTTCTCCAGGCCACAGGCAGTATCCCCATCACGGTGCGTCACATCGAGTCCATGATCCGAATGGCCGAGGCTCACGCCAAGATGCACCTGAGGGACTACGTGGTGGAGGACGACGTCAACATGGCCATCAGGGTCATGCTGGAGAGCTTCATCGACACGCAGAAGTTCAGTGTGATGAGGAGCATGAGGAAGGTGAGTCTGCGGGACTATGGGACTAAGCACGAGTTTCAGAACTATTGAAAAAAAATAAGGACTGTTGTCATAGTGGTTGATAATTTTAAGTTGAATGGCAAAGTCCTCAAAATATTGCCTAAAACTGGAAGCTGAATTCTTGAATATATGCTAAGGTGCCTTTTGCTTTTTTAGGTTGAGGTTCTATTATGTAGTCTGGCATTTAACATTTATATCTTTTGATCGTTTTGATTGATTTTTTGATTAAGGTTGTTTTAGAAGTACCATTCTTATTGAGAGCTGGCTGGCCACTCCATAGAATTAACGCTCCACTTACTTGGCTTACTTTTTTCATAGAGATTTATAAGTTAAATGTTAAAAGCTAAATTTTGTAAAGGTAGCTCACCAAAGGAAAAAGGTTGGAGACTCCTGAGTTACATGGTAAACTTTTTAAAAAGTGTATACAAATATTTGGAAATGTAATCAAATAAAAAAAAAAGTCCCAAGATTAATTTTAATTCCAAAAAAGTGGTACAGAAAAAGAGAAGCCTTTTATTATAAACGAGTCATGTAGTAACACTTTTTTTTCTTCAAAGTCAGACTAACTTCTTTTTTTTTTTTCCTGCAGACGTTTGCGCAGTACCTGTCCTTCCGCAGAGACAATAACGAGCTGCTGCTGTTCATCCTGAAGCAGCTGGTGGCGGAGCAGGCAGCCTATCAGAGGAACCGCTACGGAGTCCAGAACGACTCCATCGAGATCCCAGAGAAAGACCTGCAGGAGAAGGTCAGGACACAGCACATTACTATTCATTTCATATTCATTTTTTTTCCCACAATTTTGAATCCTAATCCCACAAGGCACACCTTTTTATACATATATAAAAATACGTACACGCATTTGACATATATATATTATGTGTGCCATATGTGTTAAGTGTAGGGGAAAAAAAAAACAGAATCCCAAAGAAGCTGGTCAAGCTTATGTATATGGTGTCCATCACCACGGCGAGATTAATTTAGTGCCTTGACAGGATCAGTTTTGGTAAAATTACAACCACAGACAAGACGGTAAAATAATAGATGCAAAAGGGACAAAACACAAATAATAAATATACAAACAAACAAAAAAAAACAGTACAAAACAAATTAAAGTAAGTGAAAGAGAAGAAAAAAGAAATGATATAATAAAAATGAAATAAGAAAATTTTTATAAATTAAGTAAAGGGTTTTGTATCTTTTCCTTTTAGATTAATTAGATTAGATTATGTCTAGGTAATTTTATTTTATATGTAACTAATTTAATTGCTTATTTCTATATGGGTTTGAAACATAAATAAATATTTGTGATGAGGAAACAAAATTATAACATGGATTAGATAATTGTCTAATTTGTTCCCTTTAAGGCTCACAGGTCTTTATGGTTGACCACTGACCAGTGCTGAAATGTAAATGAAAATGTATCCACTACGTTTCCACTAATTTAAATGACAAATGGCAGTGGAATAAAAGGTTTTGAGTACCAATGTTTGTGATAAAACTCCATTTTTACAATGACTTTGCTAATGATTTCTTAAGATTTGTACTTTTGTGTTGAGTTTTTTGCCGTTATTACCACTAAATTTTGTATGTGTAAAATCTATTTTATTGCCTTAACAAATGAAATATTAAAAAAACTCATTAGAATTGCCAAACAGTTCTGGGGGACAAATGACAATCAAAGTGGGACAGACTGATCCGTAAAGTTTTAGGTTTATTCTCAACTTTCATAGAGAACAGAAACTTGCATACCAACCTCATATTTGTCCTCCAGCATAAATAATTTTCATCACTGACCCCCTCTGTCTCCTTCAGGCTCGTCAGATCAACATCCACAACCTCTCGGCTTTCTACGACAGCGACCTGTTCAGATCCAACAAGTTCAGCCACGACCTGAAGAAGAAACTCATCGTGCAGCAGTTCTAGACCTCCACAGACTCTGCCCCCTTGTGGACACAAATATATTCAAAAAAAGAAAGGGCACTTCGGTCTAAAGTTCTTGGTCTTTCAACATGCCTGAACTTAAAAAAAAATATTGGGATTTAAATACAAAAAGCACTGTTTTTGTCAAAGCAATTGCCCTTTTTCAGTATGTTGCCCTCACTGTAAATAACTGTACATGTTCTATTACTGTTTAACATTTTACTCTTGTACCAGAATAAATATTGAAGTTGTTTAATGGGTGCAAGTAGAAGCTGTGTGACTACTTTGCTATTGTGTTGTAATGCTGTACTTTTGATATTAAAAAGGTTTGTCAATAGTCTTTGGAGCCTATTTTTACTTTATTTGGATAAGTATAAGGCACAACTGCTTAAAATAAGAGTTTGGGAATGATGTGACAAATCAAATGAACCAAATAGGTAATTCCTTTAATCTCTGATATGGGTTTAGAATATGTGCATTATTCTGATCTAATTCAAAGACCTACTGAAAATCTTCATTTTTTATGCTTTCTAATGTACTGAAAAACTTGTTCTTACTATTTGCGAGCTTGCATCTCCACAAACCTGACTGTTAACTGGGCTGAAGAAGGGCATGTCTCTTCCTGCTCGTCTGTCTCCATGGAAATGTTCCTTTGGCTATAATGTTCCACAGTATGGCATTAAAACAGTGCCTGTATCGCCATAGTGAATGTTCCAAAGTGTGGGTTTTAACTTTGTTCTTCTGTGGAATCATGTAGACCTCACCTTACACAGTGCCGCTTTAAAGGTGCACTGTTTAACTTTTTGGAGGGTGGGTCTGCCAGTTGTCTCTTTAGTGATGTTATTGCTTTTTCTGGAATATCCCAGTTTATATCCCACAATCCCACAATTAAATGTATTTATCTTCCATTCATTCAATTAAAGTTGTTTTTTATTGCTCAAAAAACCTTGAAATACATGCATTCTTACTGTGAGCAGGGTCACCTCTCCATAGATCTGCCCTGTAGCTTAAGCTTAGTGGCATCACATGTTTGTTTTTATGGAAATATCCAAATCTAAGACCATATTGTGGCACATTCAGGTAAAGCATCTCCATGGAGACAAGTAGTGAGTGAACACAGTGCACCTTGTTTATTTGTATTGCACAATTCGTACACAAAATAATTCAAAGTGCTTTACAGAATAAAAAATACATTAAAATCACAATGAAAACAAATCAAAACACAAATAATCATCATAAAATTAAAGATTAAAATAAAAGAGAGAGAGAGAGACAGAGACAGAGAGATATTAATTAAATAAATTAGAGAGAAGAGTGCGGAATGAAAATCTTTCATTTCAGTTTTAAGCCTAGATTTAAACATCGTCAAAGAAGAGGCCTGTCTCACATGTCTATATTTATATTTATATTTATATTTATATTCACATTTATATTTGTATTTATATTTATATTATTTCTATCTTAAATAAAAATAAAAATTAAAAAAAAAAAAAAAAAAAAAAAAACATTTTAGAAATACTTCATTGTAGTCTGAGGGCCTAAAGATTCTTTGTTAGAATTTGTTATATTAGTTTAGATTTATTTGTCTACATGCGCACTAAAATTATTTGAAACCGTATTTTTCATAAGTTATTTAACATTACTGTATTTTATTTTTGTCCATGTGTAATAACCACAACCTCACTGCGCTGTTTACCGTCCCAACAGCTCCCCCCTGCGCCCGGACAGCGCCACTGCACCCCGGCTACGCTCTCCTCGCTCTCCTCCGCGGTGCACCAGCTCGCTACCTCCACCGTGACCGCTACTCCGTCTGCTCCTCACCCTGAACACACCGCCTGCCCCTGCGTCCGTCCGTCCGCCCGTCCGTCCGTCCGCGCACCGCCACGCGCAATGCTCTCCTCCTCCTCCGCGCCCTGACTACCGCACACCGACTCCACGCACGTCCAGTGACCGGCCAGAGAGCTCTCAACAGCGGCATCCAGCCTCCCCAAAAAGCCCCGGCGGTACGGAGTGTCCATTTGGAGAGATGTTGTGCACTGCAGCAGACATGAAGGGCCTGCATCGCGTTATTCTACTGGGTAAGTCCCGAAAAATGTGTGCGTAATTTTAACGTATGCGCAAATTGGCGTTAACTTGAGAAAATAGCACGCACGTTTTACGAAGTGCTTGTTTTTACGCGGGGTTTTGGTTCGTAAAATGTATTGCAATGTTACGACGAAAGAAAAAAAAGCATGTAAATCAGCATATTAAGGTACTGCGGAGGCAAGTTTGTCGTTAGTACGCCACAATGACTCAAGTATGCTGTTACGATACGATTTTTATTTTTTTTTTTTTATGATATAATTAATCAATAATCGAATATTTTCTGGAAAACATATAAGCTGTAGTTGTTTTTGGAGTTGTAGCCTGTGCATTTTGTGTTAGATTGACAAGAAAATATTGAGAATAACGCATAAGTAGGTTGGGGTTTAAAGGCACACTACGCAACTTTCCGGTGGAGTGCCTGCCATCAGCTGCATGTCTCCATGGAGATGTAGTTGCTTTGTCTAGAATGTTCCACAGTATGGTCTTAAACGCTACTTTATCTGGGGTTTAAAGGCACACTACGTAACTTTACGGCTGCTTGTCTCCATGGGGATGTTGTGGCTTTGTCTAGAATGTTCCATAGTATTGGATTTAAATGTAGTGTTGTAGTCAAGACCGCACTTAGAGAAACCAAGACCAGTCCAAGACTACACAGTCCCGAGACCAAGACAAGATCAAGATCTCTTGACCAAGAGTTTTAAAAACCAAGACCACGGCCCATCGAGACCAAATCGAGACCATCTCTGTTATTTTCTACATTTATTTTTTTTTATTTTTGAGTTATTTTGGCATGTTTTTATAAATCTATCTCCATTTTGAGTCGAGTGTCAGACCTTGAGATCAGGACAAGACCGAGTCCAAGCTCCTTCAAGACCGAGACAAGACCGAGTCCAAGCACCGTCAAGACCAAGAGACACAAGACCGAGTCCAAGCACCTTCAAAACTGAGACAAGACCGACTCCAAACGCAGTTGAGTCCAAGACAAGACCGAGTCCAAGCTCCTTCAAGATCAAGACAAGACTGAGTCCAAACTCCTTCAAGACTGAGACAAGTCTGAGTCCAAACACATTTGAGTTTGAGACAAGACAGAGTCCAAGCATCTTCAAGACCGAGACAAGACCGAGTCCAAGCACCTTCAAGACCGAGACAAAACCAAGTCCAAACACAGTTGAGTGTGAGACACGACTGAGTCCAAGCACCTTCAAGACCGAGACAAGACTGAGTCCTAATGCGGTCGAGTCCAAAGAAAAGAGACCAAGACTGCAAAAAAATGGTCTTGAGGCCGTTCTCGAGACCAAGATCGGTCTAAAGAACTACAGCATTACTTAAACGTTACTTTATCCATGGATTCGAGCAGGTGGCGCGACTATAGACCAAGTTACAAATCAGATCTGTGGAGAGGCAAGAAAACACCTGTAAATGAAAACGTCCAACACAGGTTTCCATTCATGCTGTGAACATTTCAGACAAAACAATAAAATCTCCATGGACACAAGCAATAGAGAGCACTTTACCAGAACAATTACACGTTGTACCTTTAAAATAGAATTACCAATAGAAAAAAATATATAAATATGTTAACGCAAGATCAATATATGGACTAAAATAAGGATTGTGTTTGAGATTGTGACTGTAAACACATGGGTCCATGCAGGTTTATGTGGAGAGTGAATGTGAGTTTCCGAAAATGTGAATATCAAATGTTTAAATGACAAAATAATAATAATAATACATCAGTTTTATTTATCACTTTTCACAATGACACAAAGATAATAAAGTTAAACTAAAACAAGGACAGGACACACAAAACAATAATGAAGAGCAGTCATGTGTGGGAGCTGAGGCTGTGAGGAAAAGCTGCGTTTTGAGCAGTTTTTTTTAAACCAGGACTAAACCAGGTAAACCAGGATTTTAAACCAGGACTAAACCAGGGAGTCTTGACTAAACCAGGTTTTAAACCAGGACTAAACCAGGAGTAAACCAGGACTAAACCAGGACTAGGACTTAAACCAGGACTAAACCAGACTTTAAACCAGGACTTTAAGGACTAGGTTGGAGGCAAACCAGAGGTTAGAGAAATATAGTTGGAGATCAATTTGAAATGATTTAAAGTGCAGCTCGAAGTTTAAAGCTGTGTTAGATTTTTTGATTTACTCGCTGAATATCGGCCGCTCGTTCAAAATATGAAAGCCAGGGTCAGTATTTATTGTTTGGATTTTTATTGCTCTACTGGAATGTGAGTTTTTTGGTTATTTATTGGCTTTTTGGTAAGATTTAAGTTGTAAAAGGTTGAATTAATCACTTGTATGCCTCATTCAGTGTTGGGGAGTAACGGTTTACATGTTCTGGCGTTACGTAATCAGAGTACAAATGAGCTTCTGATTTAGATTATAAGGATTTATATGGGGCAACAGCATAAAAAGGTGAATGAGTAAGATTTGGTATTTCATGATTCACAAGTTTAATCTGTCTTTATACAGCACATTGCACATTTCTGGATAAATTGTTATTTTTGCATGAACTCTTTGTTGTGTCTGAAGTTTGGGTCAGACTCATACAGATTTTAGCCACGCCCCCTTTTTAGGCAACTAATCAATTGACAGGGCAAGCAAGAACTCCTACTCCAACTACAGCCCTGGTTTAGTCCTGGTTTAACTCTTGTTTAGACCTGGTTTAGTCCTGGTTTAGTCCTGGTTTAACTCTTGTTTAGACCTGGTTTAGCCATAATTTAGACCTAGTTTATTTGTTGTGTAGTCCTGGTTCAATCCTACTTTAGTCCTGGTTTAGACCAGGTTTAGTCCTGGTTTAGCTCTGGTTTAGTCCTGGTTTAAACCTGGTTTAGTCATTGTTTAGACCTAGTTTATTTGTCGTGTAGTCCTCATTCAATCCTACTTTAGTCCTGGTTTAGCTCTGGTTTAGCTCCTGGTTTAATCCTGGTTTAGCTCTTGTTTAGACCTGGTTTAGACCTGGTTTAGCCATAGTTTAGACCTAGTTTATTTGTTCTGTAGTCCTGGTTCAGTCCTATTTTAATCCTGGTTTAGCTCTGTCCTGGTGTAGCTATGGTTTAGTCCTGGTTTAGTCCTAGTTTATTTGTTTTTAAGTCCTGGTTTAGCTCTGGTTTAGACCTGGTTTAGACCTGGTTTAGCCATAGTTTAGACCTAGTTTATTTGTCGTGTAGTTCTCATTCAATCCTACTTTAGTCCTGGTTTAGCTCTGGTTTAGTCCTAATTGAGTTCTAGTTTAATCCTGGTTCAGTCCTAGCTGAGTCTTGGTTTAGTCTTGATTTAGTCCTAGTTTATGAAATGTGCTTTGCAGATAAACTTGGATTAAACGTTGAGTTGGTGTTTCGCTGGTTTAATCCTGGTTTACCTCGCTTTAGTCCAGGTTTAGTTCTTTTTGTCATCACTCTTATAAACAGAAATCTGGCTCTGTGGTACATTACGTTCACGGTAAAGCGCCCGTGGGCCCCTCCTCGCTCTGTTTAATTCAGAGGGGGATTTGGGGGAGGGTCCTCTCTGTGTAAGCAGATTTCAGGGTGTTAATGCACGGACATCAGGTTTTACACACAGACCCCCAGTGGATAGAACAGATGTACTAGTAGAAGAGGAGTAGACATGTTTTTTTTCTGATGGTAACTAGGGCTGCAAGATTAAAGGTGCACTGTGTAACCTTTGTGGTGGGGGGTCCACTACCAACTCCATGGAAATACTATTGTCAATTCAGTATTTATTCATTACTGGTGCTCGTTTCCAAAACTCAAAATGCTCGATTCACCTCATCCACCTTGTGATGTCATGAAGCTGTAGTTTCCAAATTTACAGCCCACTTTTATATTTTGTTCAGTAGAGATTAGCAATTCTAGGCTCAGATTTTTCTTGGCCCTCAGGCTTTTAGGTGAATTGGCCCAAATTACCTTGGATCAATTAAAAATTTACTTTTTACTGCAAGCTGTTTGAAAATCTACCTTGGTAAAGCTAATCTTTAATATTGAGTGTGTGGTTTTAAGGATCTTAGGATGAGTAAAGACCAATGACTCATTCTAATGTGTTAAACCTGCACATATTTCAATTATTCATTATTCTCAAAATTTTGGACACCCCTGGGCTATAGAGACATTGTTTATTTAAAAAATTATTATTACTTTAAATTATGCTTGTTCTGGATTCAATGTTTAAGCAAAACTATTATTAAACATTTATTTTAATAAGAAAAGGTTTAACATTACACATCTTGAAAGAAGCAAAAACATACAGATGTTGCTGAAATTTTTCAATAAATATTTAGTTTGCGCCAGGAAAGTCCCAGTGTTTAATTTTGGCCCTCTGTGAATTTGAGTTTGACACCCCTGCAGTAGAGCACTTCCTGTATGACCACATGACATCACTAAAATCTGCAGGGTTTGTGTGCTAAAAATGTGTGAATGAAACAAAACACATCTCCAGGTCTGTTTGTGATGAGTAAACAACATTATAACAATATGGGCCCTTTAAACTTGCAATATAAGCGAAACCCCCTGCTACTTCTGAAAACATAAAAAGTGGTTTGCATATATCTTTTTGGTAACTTTTTAAACCAGGTGCCCTTTCTGGTGCAGCTCTCTTTCTTTCTTAAACCCAGTTCTAGATTTTTGTTGACTGAAATGGTGTCTGTAATTGTGAATGGATGAGTCATGCATCAGACCAGATGAGATCAGCACATTGTAATCTGCAGCACGATCAGACCTCCAGACCTCAGTGAGTTTCAAATAGTTGCACGGAATGATAAAACGAAGCTTTGTACAGATAGAATATTGAATGAATGAATTTATTTTCAAGGTCCGATATTACGCAAAATTGATTCCTGTGAGCTTTAAGACATGTTGGAATGCTGTTACCTCCTCAAAAACAGACCTGGAATTGTGTTTTGTTTCATTCACACATGTTTGAGTAACACTTTATTATTCATCTGTCTACATCTCCAAATCTTAAAATGCTCTGTTCCTCTTTGTGATGTC